TATACTGATTTATTTGTATAGGCCATCCGTTTGCATACGTTAAAATAAATTTGTTCCTATAAGTTTTTGCTTCTACTAATTCCGATTCTCTGTTTATTCCTATAACTTTTGTGTGAGGTGTCGCTCTCGCTATCGTTTGCACTACAATTACCACAAAGTACTGCTACTATTCGTAGCCAAATTTTTCAACTTTTTAATTTTCACTGTACAAGTTTTTTTTGAATCGACGAACTATTATCATTTGTTATTGATAAAAAATTATAGATATATTGGACCAAGACCACGCATTGCGCGGCCAGATATCACTAATCTATGTAGAGAGGAGAATGAAAAAGATACACAGCTAGTGATCCTTGTTAGGAAGAGCATTACTTTAGCATAAGCTTCTCATTATCAAACGCAAAGCAACTTTAATTCGTTAGAATCAAATCTCACGGGAAAGTTCACGATCTATGATATTACTTGAGATTACTTTCTTGGTAATTACGTTTTCTACAGTTTTTCCTTGCTCTTTTTTTTTTTTTTTTTTTTATAATTTTCACGATTGCCCCTAAAAGCATATATGATTTTACTTATTTCTTCCCTCGTTACCCTGTTTATCAAGTTGAGAAATTTTATTTATATTGCCGTTATGAATCTTCACTAATAGGTATAAAAAATTTAATACTTGTTGTGAGAATTTCAACACTCTCAAATTAATAGAAAAAGAAAATGATTCATATAGCTCATGTATGATACATGTGTCAAAGAAACACTATATTATCAGGTTTTCTTGCTTACTTTAATTCAATCCAAGTTTCAAATGCTTTACATCAATGGTTCAAGAAGGAGGGGTGGGAGGGTTGGGTGGGGTGGTTAGAGGATTAGAAAGGGGATAGTTATTATCGGGAGATTGAGGGTTCGATTCTCACCAGGATCATCAATTAAAAAAATAAAAAATAAAATATCAATGGTTCAAAATTCTGATATGCCATCCGAGGCTTTTCTATTTCATATCGGTAACAGTGATTTTTTTCATTTTTTTTTACTAATCACAATTTTCTTTTCTATAAACTCCTGCGTTGGATTAATTAATTTTCAGTGTAATGTTTTAATTCAAAAGGCAAAAAAAACCTCAAATCTAACACGTACTAGAATGAAGCACAGCTTATCTTTGTTGTTGAAGTTTGGGAAGAGGAAAATTATTTATTGTTGGTATGGTTTCATTGGCGTGAAAAGGAAGAGTAGGGGCCTAGGGTGGAAGGTGGGCCAGGCGAGATGGCCCAGTCAGATTCTGCAGTGGGATTCGAATTGTCAGCACTCGAAGGAGGAAAAAAAAAGAAAGAAAAATTGAATGAAAGTATAATAAGGAGGGAACAAAGTCACGGTTGGCGGATGATTACTGGTTGATGAGGCTTTTCGTGTGAATCTTATAATAATAACCCCTATATATGGCCCATTTCCTTTCCCCCTATTCCATGTCCATTGTCTATTTGTCATAGGCATCTTTCTTTCTGAATTTTTCTTGTAACGTTCGGAACCCGCATGGATAGATAAACTCATTCGAGGCGAACACTGAACCATGAGAACCAAAAATGGCTCAAATTTTATCATTTTCGGGTTTTTCTAGTAGCATTTTGTAATTTTCATTATCCTTTTCTAGTCTATATTTTTTCTCGATAATTTTTTTTTAATGCGTATATTTTTTTACCCGTAATCTAATAAGTACTCGGTTCAAATTGTTCATATTAATTGGCCCTTTTCATTACTATTCCAAAAAGAAGCATTATAGCAGGGACATTTCAACCATACAATCCTCAAGACCTCAAATTTCAATTATATGGGGTTCTATTTTATCTTCGATTTGGTAGTATTTCAATTTACATAATGTAATATGCTTCCTATGTGAAGACTTTAGAAAACAGGATTAGTACATAGTGTATAGTTGATTGTGTATAATCGAAGTAACTTTCTCATGATCATGACTCTATCAAGTGATTAAAAAATTTGTAATCTGCTGTGACAGGCATTTCCATGAGAATAGTTTTTTGTTCTGCATACGACGCATCTATTGAGGGATACTCGGTGTCCTAGAGCTCCAACTTCATTTTGTCAGTCCTAGAGCCATCCACAGTTACACCAACACCGCAGTCTCCACCATCCTCAAACTTGTCTGCCATCATAGACTTAGAAAATTAAAGGAGAAGATGATGAGACATGAAGTTGCTAAATTGAAATTTGACGTTATCATGGCTCCTGTAGAGTTCAACCACTTTGCAGTCTTCACTCGAGCACTTGTCCAGACTTGTAGAATTTCAGCCCTTTGTAATTTATGAAATTTTAGGCCTTCTTAATGGTATCCATTTCGGGTTATTTTATCGATTGGGTTGTATGTGTTTTTTGTAAGCCATGAATCCCTTTAGAGGCATTTGTTTTGAAAATTATTAAAGGTGGATTATCGTACAATGAGCCGATGAGACATGGAAATCTACTTAAATGAATCCAATTAAGCCTTGTTTTCAACATATTGATCTGGGGTTGAAAGTTAGGGATGCTTATTTTGGTTACTTGTTTCACAGTTGGTTTTGTGCTTTACCTCAAAATGAAACCAGAATCGCTTGAAGAGATGTTAATAAGAAGGAAAAGAATCGCCGACTCGCCGAGGAGGAATTTGTGCAAATTTTTGAGGAAAGGAATGTTGGTGGCGGAGGAGCTGGAGCCTGGAGGGGAGGAAGATGATGGCATGCGGCGGCGGTAGTATTACTCTTCTTCTTTTTTGTTGTGTGTGACTGCGTGTAGGTAGGGGCAAACGGCAATATGTCCGTAACTGAAGCTGCAGACGTGGCAAGACTAGTGATATGGGTTGTTGGACGTGGTGGTGCTCATCACGGTGGGGATGTTGTTAGTGGTATGTTTGCCAGGAGATCTCAAACATACCACTGAACACATCCCCACTATGAGGAGCTCTGTATGCATCCATCAGAGCCTATTGCTCTTTCGATTAAGTCTGCAGCTTTAGTTACAGACATCTTCGGTTTGCGCCTTTACCAGAAAGAAAGTTTGTTAAAGATCCTTGATTGGGAAACAGCACCCACCAAATATAAACAAATTAATTAGGATAGCGTATCGAAGATGGGAGCATACATAGTCAGCAGAGTACTAGAAACAAAATGCACCAGATCCAGTGACAAGTTCATCACCGTGAACCACTTTCCCTTCACCGTTAACCCCGAAACAGCACAAAGACCACTTGTTTGTTCACAAATGGAAGAATACAGGCAAGAGGGCCTGGAATATATACAGCAAAAATTTTCAAATATTTATAAAACAAAAACAAGTACCGATTCGCTCCACACTGCGATCAGTATTCCTATCCACAAACTTTCTCCTTCAAAAACCCGAAAGAGTGTCAGCTAGCCATTCCAATGCCTCTTCAACAGAAGTTTTTTCTGCCCTCCTTGTGTTCTTGTAGGTAGCACTGCAACTGCAACACATACCCACCCAATCCGTCACCAGTTTATATTTGTTTAGACAAAAGTGTCAAAGTTGTGTTTCTTAGTTGGCACCCTAAACAATACAAGTGATTCCTTCGCGTGAAACTAGCAAGTACTACCTTGTGTTGAAGATCTTGAAGAATAAATTCACTTCCTCCAGATATTGTGGCAAGCATGTGAGAATTGAGTTCGACAACGTTGGGCGGGTACTTTGATGCTAATTAAATTTGACCACACAAGCTAGTAATGGAGCACTATCCATGTCTTAAATTTGATAACTGAAGTCTGAAGTTAGCAAGGGAGTACTATTACATATACATAATTGATAATTCCATGAAGTGGTAAATGGACTCACACTTGCTTGAATGGTCAGCAGCTATCATGATTCCTTCATCGAAAACAAAACCCATTGTAGTAGTTCCCTTTTCAATTTTAGGCCCGTTCGGCTTAGACGACTGTCAGAACTTTATACTCTCTCCGTTTCAAAATTATTGTCCAGTTTAGAATTTTAATTTTAATTCAAAATGTACTAAAGGTGAAAATATTCTATACTGGATTATAATTTTGAGACGGAAGAAGTAAAAAGTAAGAGGAAAAAAACTTACGCTATCTTCGCGTAGATAAATTTGGCGAACCGTTGGAGGTTGAGGTGGAACACAGGATGGGTTAGCATGTGAATTGGGTCCAACATCCCTCTTTCTCCACTACAATGCGAGCAAAACCAACAAATTTATATAACTTAGTAAGAAAATAGTGATATATGGAAGAAAACTAAATCAGAGGTAAAAAATAGTTTCAAACTAGAGGAAACTAAAGGCTGACTTTCCTGCATAAGACTTAACCTTGGAAATTCAACAAGGAAACAGAATAACAAAACCAACCCTATAGCTAATTCCAAAAACAGGTAAGAGTCGAAGGGACAAATATTTTACCTCACTGGACGATTCAGCCATCTTTAATTTCTTTCCTAAAATCCAAGCAAAATGAACAAAGTCGTTTTTAATTGATGATGATATCAGCACTGTGAAGAAATATATTAACGTAGAGTACCTTTCTGGGACGAGCGGAGATGGTTTGTTCAGAAGAAGCAAAGATAAATTGAACTGCGTTATGATTTCAGCACTGTGAAGTATGAAGCACCTTTACCACACATCAAACGTGAGATCATTTGTCTCACATTCTATTTTCCAAACTGTTCCATTCCATGTGGTTCAAAATTGAATTGGGATGATTTCATTGAAACATGATAGTATGGTAATAATATTAATAGCCATAAAGAAACATTGACGCTTCATTAGCAAAACATTATTTCAATTGTATCAAACAGTTAACGCGGTGATTGTGTTAAAAGTTAAGCTTCTAAGTTCGATCTTCAAGAGCGAATTAGGAAGGCAGAAAATAAAGGGTTTGACGGTGATCAACACAGAAATGGTGAAAAAGAATGTGGAATCTGTACTCGAGGAGATGAATCTATACAAAACCCTACGAGGATATTTTCTACAAGTAACCGGGGAAACCACCATAATCTTAATCGCAAGATGCAACAGCTAGGGCTACGCTAATATCATTCGAGGTTCCGGACATATACATCCTATACGTTTCTATTTCTTGTAAATGTCCTCCATCTTCGCTACCCGCATAGTAGCTTCCACTCACATGATCACGCTTGGAGAAGATGATCTCCCTTAGGATTGGCTCATGGCCATTTAGGAGATTTCCCATGCTTAATACCTTCCTCCAAGACTGATTGGCAGTTGGAGGAGTAAACATGCCTGCAACCACTTCTCGTTCACGCGGCAATATTTGATGCTTCTTTGAAGGCACCTGCCAGCATGTTCGCACCAAAAATCAAAACCAAGGGATGCTAGAGAACTACTGAAAAGATAGTGAAGTCGGTCGAGAATGTTACCATGTCCGTTTCGCGGTTCTCAGCACCTGTTCCCATCCGTGGAAGGTAAACTTTGTAAAAGTCATTGAATATTTCTTCTGAGAGGCGTGGTGCCCGTAAGAACTTTAGATGAAGTGAAGCTGCTGTAATCAGTAGCTGCTCAACACTTTTGAAGATGTCACACAACCGTTTCAGGTCTTCAATGTGCTCACTGTCAATGGTCTTCTTTCCTGAAAGGACGTACAACTGATAAATTTTTTCAACATACGGCAAACAAAAAAGGACCTTGCTTAGAACAATGGCCAACATACTCTGCAAAAATTTCAAGGCAGAAGCCATGGTGACATAAAGTTGCTCCATTCTGGACTTCATCAGCTTTAGTCCCCCAAAATCAGTATGATTTAGTGTGTCCGCTGCTGCTTTAAAAGCAGTACAGACCATTTGTTCCAGCAAGAGATGTGGCCGCACCGTCTCCAGATAATGAAGAACCTGGTTGAGAATGAGATGACATGAGCTTGTCAAACACTTCCAATATAAAAATCTAGGGATGAGCATCAACAAACACAGTCTTCTCATGAGTTTTTAACAGAAAAGGGAGCTTAGGATACTGCTGGTGATTAGTGAATGAATTTCCAAATAATTAGATGATTGCAAAATGTTAAAGAGCAGGGTGTAATATTGCCATGCACAAAAAGAGGTCTTCTGGTGGGCTATACATTATGGACTTTCTTAAATTCTTCCACTAACACGATGGCCAATTATGTAGCATTAAATATGGTAAGTCTGGGATATATATCGTTATCCACTTGAAACTCCACAAATTACTATTTATAGTCACCTTTTCTCCTTCACGCTTTGGATCAAACAGTGGCTTCTGCTCAGATACTGGGACTGCAGGGGCATCATTCCAAATTTTTCTCCATGAATTTCCATTGTCAGACATTCTCTTTGACAGCCTTCCCCTAGGAGGCCACTTAGTGTTTGCAAATTTATTTGCATCAGCTTGAGACACTCCCGGTTCCCCACTATCATCATTTTCCCAATCTCTAGGCGAATGCCATCTGATGAAATCTTCAAACACTGCATCAGGATTTGCAGCTTTGAAAGCTGACATGTCTGGTTCAAATTGTACGAAAAGATCAAGGGTCAGATAATCATGAAACATCAGCCAACAAAATAGATTCACACAACATGTGATATTCTTTAACAGTACATTTCTCCAAATAACAGGAGGAAAAGATACACACCTTCAAAGGCAACACATAGTAATTATCATCACATACGAATAACATGATAAGCATCAAATTCTACCAGCACAAGTTCCACAAATCTCTAATTAATGCTAACGGGTGATTAAAAATCCAACTCTCAAACATTCATATGAGATAATGAAGCAACGTGAAGAGAAATTTAGTGTTGTTAAGCATATTAAGCAGCAGGAATGTAGTTGCAGACTTAGAGGTCTATTTAAAGCAAGTTTCGAAGTTTCAAATATGCACTCTAAACAAACTCCAATTAGAAAAATTGTAACGGAAAAGGTATGGATCATGCTTCAACAAGAGCACAACAATATTTTTCATTCTGACAGTTCAGACGAAATCATACAAAAACCCAAGGAGAGGCCCAACCGAGAAGAAAGAAAAGATGTGAATGTTTTCACTAACTCAAATTCTGAAAACAAAATATGCCTCAATATCACAGGCGAAACATTTGTACCTGACGACAAGGTTTCTTTCTCCAATTGAGCGGAAAAGCTCTGCAATTGATGAGACATAATTTGTCATAAGATGGTTACATTATACTCACTGCATCTACAGATGAACTTAAATGGTAGGTTGTTGCACTTAATTTTGGGATTTCGACCATAGTGAAAGTTGAATTCCTAATTATTTCACCTACATGGACCTTTTATCTTCCAAATCATAAACAACCTTTCAGGAATCGAACATGTAAAACAACAAAACAAGAAAATTTCAGGCTTACAAATGAATCTCCCAGGGCTTCAACTGCTTGGAGTCGTTCTTCATGCATATCTTCAGTCATAAGTGGTAGGTTCTGCAATATCATAATGTATTAGTACAGACAGAGGGTAAAAATCAAAAGAAAATCCAACGAACCGAAAAAGCCACTCGACAAACCTGGGTCAGAGGAGCATGCATCTGCTGCTGTGATTTCAAGAGCATCATGGACCCAACCACCCCAGCTGATCCCTTCCTTGTGGGTTCAGAAGGACTAGGATCAGTGGCCCCTGCAAGATTCTGTTGGTTGGAATTGGACTTACTGGTAGCAACTGAAGATCTTAGCAGATTGTCTGAAGGTTTTTTACTGCATGAGAAACATAATGCTGATAAACAAAATGTGCTACATTCACATTGTATAGTCAGAATATAAGAAGTTCATCTAGTCTAGATTACTTAAAAGGGGCAATGGTTAAATGAATTATTTTCACACACTGTAGATAAATAATGGAAAGGGAGAACAGTTGGTAGAAACAAGAAGCTTGGATAAAGAGTCACGAAACATGAGAAACTACTTAATATTTCCACCACGACAACAAATGGTCACCTGGAAGGACAATATAAAACAGGAGTTCTCACTTGCAAACCTGTCATATTCTGCAAATGAATCATCATACACTTCAAGCGAAGGAGATGCATCACTAAAACTCTGACTGCTGTTCTGCAATTGAGTCAGAAATTGAAGAAGTTTGAGTGAAAAAGTTGCCAGTGGAACTCTAAATGCTTTAAAATCAAGATAGAATAAAAAATCATGGCGAACCGTGCAAAACAACAACCTCAACAGAATCATCATCATCATCTGTCTTTGCACCACCATCTTGCTCTTGTTTCTCTTGACGCAGCTTCTCAATGCATAATGCAAACTGAACCATGGAATAAACTAGTAAATGATGAGTCAAACCATAAGAACGTTTCTTGACCTTTACAAATGGAAGAAAACACTTAAAAGATATGTATTCTAGACAGAAAATCATTAGGATTTTTTCCCGAATAGGGTATGTGACATAAGGCTTTCATTTCGGAGCGATTATTCAAAGGTTATTAATCACATGAAATTATTAGTCAATCATCAATCTACCATCATGCAGTGCTGTTAAATAACATCACAAAGTTAAGGGAAGGGCACTGCAACAAGCATTCAAAGCACTGAACTTACCATCTGTAGCTTTTGGTGAATCAAACACGTAGAGAGGTCAATTGTTCCATTTGTAGGCATTCGGGGCAAAGGTTGCAGCTCTTCCCAGTACCAACGGATTTCATGAACAAACTCGATCCATAATACTGCAATAGCTAAAGTCACCAAAAAATAATCCATGCATGAGACAGAAGATTTTAACATTGGGATAAAAGACTAGCTCCAATGAAAGTCAAAAGTTAAACTCGACTGTATCCACACTGCATACCACGTATGTTGCAGTTTCCAAACCAAAGCGCATGCAGACAAAATTGCGCAAAAAGTGAGTTGAGAGGGGCTCCTTTAATGGCTTGGGAATTGTTAGTCTCTCCATTGACGAAATTAAGTTTTGTATCTGCATTTGACAAACAGAACATACAATACAGTGACATAAAATTAGCAAAATTCTGTAGGTAGGACCTCAAAGAACTTCCTAAAACTTTTAGCATAGGATGTATATTAGTTTGAGAGAATAAATTGAGAAAGAAAGAAAGAATTTCTAGGAATAGCTGATATTCCTACCTCTAAAAATATAAGAAAATAAACTCCCAAACAAAACATACATGCGACATGCAGCAATTTCTATTTCCCATTCTTATTACGTGGTTCCCATATTCCCAAACCACTACATTAAGATGAAATAATTTTTCTTCAAGATCTTGTTCATGAATAGGCCAGCACATGATGAAAAAGAATAAAAATAACAAGAAGGCAATGGTTATGGCTTGAAAGCCAATTTACCATCATGAAGGAGCTCTTTTAGCACACGATCAAGAACGGTAGGTGGTGGAATGACTGCTGAGGAATTCACATTTTCGGATCCAGAGTTTTCAACTGCTACAAGAGAAACAGAAATAATTGCTTTATCCTCAACATAATAAGAAAAGTTCCCACCAATTACATTGACAACACACAATGGAGATCAATCGCAAGCATACAAACAATCATTTAGACCAAAACCCCATTAATAGCAGAGAGAAATTTCAGACCTGAAACAAAATCCTCAACATATTGAGCCTCCAATGATGAATCCAGTGCATTAACCAGTAGGTGCAATTGTGAAGCAAATCCTACCATGCTTTTATCCAAAATCTCTCTGCAGATAAAATTTAGAATAACAAGTCATACAACACTGAATATCTTTTTACCAAATTACTTCGGTAAGAAAACATAAGATCAGAAACTTCTACAATATATCATATAGATGGAGGCAAATTCATGAGAACAATAAACTACGAGCAGTCGGTTATCATGTAACATTAGCAAGAGATTTAGTTTATATACATGCATTCTCTGTATAACATACAATAACCTCTATGCTAATTTTCTTTTTTTTTTGTGTGTGTAACAAGAAAGCCCATCGTTTAAATAGGCGTACACATGCAGCCAAGTGGATTGCTAAGATACTCAAGCTTCCCAAGGGGAAAAAACATAGATCAGTCAATAACATGAAATGTGTACATTTTTAGTACGTTTACTGGGGATGAACTCAAATTGCATTACACTACCACGGATTAATCCTTAGTGTAATTCAAAACAATGAGCAAGAAATTTATTTTACAAATAAATTTGAAACTTGTGAACCATTATTCATCATTGGATCTAGCTCAACATTTGGGATTCCAACCAATCAAACATGCAGTAAGTGCCATTTGTTGAAAATGTCTTACAGGTTTAGAGAAATATTTGGACTCATCAACCATTTTTCAGCATCAAACGGCGAAGCATTTTCCAGTTCGGCCATGTCTAGAGAACTGAGAATGCTTCTCTCTGACCATACGGTAATCAGCTCCAGTCCTGCACAGATCAACTTAGGATAAGAAGCTAGCCTGGTTACCAGAAAAGGAGTCATCCAGAAGATTAAGAAATAAGATTAGAATCATGGGACTTCGCTAATGTGAGATTCTGTGTTACAACAAGGCATTGTGTTGTAAATTGTTAGTTAGATACAAAAAGTTTCGGAGAATGCAATACCATAAAAAAGTAAAACCAATCAAACATAGGAAGCTAAGTACAATATATATTCCTGGGTAGGTTTACCTTTGGCTGGATCTTCTGCTGAATACCACTCACTCCAAGGACAAACATAATCCCACTGTACTTTTTTATTAGTGTCAACCTCTGGTTGCTCACCAGTGCCCTGGAATTCAGCATTTCGCTCCACTTCATCGTCATCATCAGTAGGAAGCGTTCTGTATGTCAACTTCATCTTAAAATGGACTTCAAAAAGATGCATTGACAAGTCCACAGTTGAATATGCCTGCATGATATCGTAAAAAAGGTTTATATTTTAGGTAAAAGATCGAAAAATAATATGCAAGCAAAACCAGTAACTAAAAATACGAATACAGTAAATAAAAGATTTCATACGCTGTGTAGGGAAAAAATTTTAAACTAATCAAAGACAATGAAATAATATTGAAACGTAGGAGGTGAGAACAGACACAAAGAGGAGAGAACCAACCAATATGAACTACAAATTGTAGAATTCCAGTTGAAAGACAAGCAAGAATTGTGCATCCATTGCAAATAAAAAAGGAGATTAATCATAAGGATTAAGGACACGCAATTTACTGGAAAATTTTCTTAAGTTTCATACAACAATTCAAGTATAACAGTTAAAATGCAGACAGATGAAAGGTCACACCTCTAATTGACCTTGAACTTTTAGAAGCGTCAACATTTGGAAAAACAACAATCAACCAAGTTCTAAAAGTCTCAAAGACATAAATATATATTGCTGCGATTATTAAAAGTTTGAAATTGAAAAGAACTTACAAATTTAGATACAAAGAGCTCATACAGTCCCTCAAGATGCATAAGTTTTATAGGGACCTGGCTACCTATGCGGTCAGCCTCGAACCTTCGAGTAAAAATAGTTCCCATATTCTGAATTCCAATGTAAGCTCTGCGGGAGGGATCATGTACTGGAACAAATGCTGGCCACAAGCTGCATGTAAGAAAGAGGATTAGGCACCAAGTATCGGAATTAATTATAACATCTAGCCCATTTCTGCATACGTTGAAAATTAAAAGCGATAAAATCAAGACAAAACTAAATTATGTAAAAAATACATAATTTTTCTTAAGCGTCAAATAAGGACAAAACGGTGTTATTTGATCCTCCATTCTCTCAATTCATAATGTCAAACATACATGCTCTGCTTTTTCATTATAAAGCTTCCTGATTTTTCACTATTGCAGCCACGTAATATCTTCTGACTTGGCGTATCCAAGAAAAGATTTTCTATTTTCTTTGGAAACGGCAACCTAATTAAAAAAAGAACAAAATATCCAAAAGACCAATTCCTTTAATGGCCTCGTTCATCTAGAAGAATATTTCCAATTTCAAGTAAACACTGAAGGCTCATCAATCAACTACTGCAACCCTAATTCAAATTTCAAGACTCAAGCTAGCAATAAAGTAGCACAAAAAACAAATCAAATGCAGGCTCAAATTAAGGGACTCTCCATGATCACAGAAGGCAAAGAGGCATGCTTAAGAATGATACCTGGCACAGTTAGACAAAGCTATTGCTACAGCACTTAATAGCTTGCTCGCTTCCGGTGCATCAAGAACTACACCACTAGCACTTTGAGGTGCAATCACCTGAAGAAGAAACGAGAAGCTAAAAAGGATTCTCCCTCAAAAGACAGCAATTCAGTAAGGGTTTAACATAGAAAGTTTAAAGGAGGAATAGAGATACCAAAAAGTCTTTCACTCCAAAAGACTGCTGCAGATCATGAGATGGTGTAATCCAGTCCGCACCTCTACCTAAGGGATAAGAGCTTTAGGAAAAGCTGGAATTGATTATGACAAAAACGAATTTGAGGAAAAATCGCCATTATTACCCTGACTGCTAGGTTCAAAATAGTAGTCCATGATGTAGTTCTTCGTAGAGTATTTCAACTCTGACCTGACCTTGTAAATGCTCTTCGCGGCATCCAAACAAATCGCACTTTTTTCCTATTACCAGCATTCCAGTGATTAAAGCATATAAAAGATCAACATCAACACATTCTTCAAGCAATATATCTTTAACATTTTACATTCATGAGACTTTACTAAGCTTAAGCTTGATTGTGGTAGAGAAAACAGCATCAGCATGTTAATGAGAAATGGTCATCGGAAAAAACAAAATTCACGGGTATACTTTCAAGATAATCAACTCGCTTAACTGCTTATATTAAATCATTAATGGCATTGTTCACTATACATCAAAATGACCTGTGAGAACAAGTGAAAATAAGCTAAATACCACCAAATTCTTGGCGCCATCAGCAAGCCATTGTCGACAAACAGCCTCTATTTCCGATATAAACCTGGAAAAAAGTTAGTCCCAATCATTTGTCAGTACAGTTACCTGTTATATATTAATCCCCATCCAAAAACAACAACAAAAACAATAAATTAGGGTGAAAAAAAAAAAAAAAAGAACTTACCTTTCCCATGCAGAGGCTATAGTAAAATCCTTAAAATGCTCAAACTGCAGGAATTCAACACGAAAATAAAGAAGAATCAGTTCCCAATTTCAGTGTGCAAATCAATTAAAACCTGCGAATATATATAGCTATGGTTGTAACTGGAAGAAAGAAAGAAATGCCTCTTCTTCTTGATCGTCGTCATCCTCCTGAAGAACGGTTTTGTTTTTACTTGTTGACGCCATTCAGATGATTCGAAGATTCGTACGCTGCTGAAGTAAATAAGTTCAAACAGGATCAAACTTCCGCCGTATGTTGATTTCCACTTCGAGATCTAATCAAAGTGTTCATCCCGTTCAGGTGATATTCACTGCCAGACGGCGTCGTTTTCATCGGTCTCTTCAGCAGTCAGCACGAGTACCCAGTTATTTTTACGGATTGGATCCGATAAAAAAAAAAGGAAATTTCTTAATAAGGGCGCACCTTTTATAATTTCTACAAAGGGCGTAAAACTTTTGAATTTTTTTTATGTTTGTTTCGTTTTTTTATGTGTGTTTTTAAATGTTTTTGTATTGGGAATGTAAAAAAGTGTATTAGAAATGTAAAAAATATATATTAGAATGGGACAATTATTATTTAAATATTTTGAAATTACTATCAAAAAAACCTAACAAACATTTTTAAATGTAACTTTTATGACATTTTTACCCCTTTGTGCTAAATACAAGTTTTTTTTTTTTTTTTGGGGCTAAAGACAAGTTAGTTTAATTTTCCCAAGCAACAATTATCACGTTGAATTCTCATCTTCCAAGAAGAAAAAAGTAATCTTCAATATGATTGCCTCATAAATTTGTGTTGTTAAGGAATTAATCAGCAAATATGTTTAACACATACATCCGTTCAATCATCTCAACAGACCCTAGTGTTTTAAAAAAACAAAAACTTCAAAATCACTGTTAATAAAGTGTGATCAGTCCAAAAGAAAAAAAAAATGAAAAAAAAAAACCATCCCTTGTTCTTGAATTTCCCTTAACCCTATCGTGATTAACCTTTCCCTGGCTCGTTTGCTTGTTCTTGAATTTCCCTTAATCCCGTCGTGATAAACTTCTCCCTGGCTTGTCTGCTCTTTTTATCGGCCAAATTGATAATTTTGCTAACACAATTTTAACCAATAACTTACTGGTCCCTTGTTTAATTATCAATTATCGAAATTGATATTTTTTGTATTTTGATTGAAGAAGTTGAAAAAGATATCCAAATATTTAATCGAACAAAAGAAATAAGGTAGAATTTTTTATTCTTGATTTTAGAATAAGAAATTCTCGGTGTTGATAATAGGCCATAGTTGGTGGGGGTGTGTTTGGGAGGGGAAGGGGAGGGTGAGAACTTGTTTCTTCCGGCAGAATTGTTTGGAGGCTAGAGTAGTCGTCGGAACGTAAAGAAATTGAGATCAACGAGAGCCTTGAGCGAAGAAGGATAAGATTGTCATAAAAACTATATTTATCTCACCCAAGTATGTTTACACCCTTCTAAGTAATTTCAAAACTTTCATACTCCTGTTAATAATTATGAAAAATGCAATGTCCTTAATAAGATTTTTTCCTATAAAAAAAAAAAAATTTCCTTACTATAATTATAACCAAAAAAGAAAAAATGTAGTATATTTAACAAACCAACATAGTGTGCCACCAACATACATCGACAGCCACTTTACTTTGTTCGTTCGTTGTCTCATTTTGCATTTTTAACTCATTTTAACTCTTAAACTGTTAAACACAAAATCCAATGTAGAACAAATAATCGTCCAAACAATTTTCTGATTTACATTTTAAAATCAAACTTACAATATTTTATTAATGTAGTGACCATTTTTTAAACTAAAAATTAATTCAATAACTAAATCTAAAACTCTGCACATTTTTTATCCATTGTTTAGTGATCATTTTTTAAGCTCTTTTTTTACAGTTACTAAAATTGACACTTTTCGATTGTTTAGCGATATTTTTTGTACTTGATATTTGAATAGAAAAATAACTTTTTGCTAAAGACACCAACCAAATAACTTTAAAATCAATCTTTTCTCCTTCATCAAAAGATTCAATTGAAATTCATCGGATTGAGTAGACAAGTTTTAAATTATTTTAGAATAAGTATTTGGTTAATTTTACGTGAAATTATCAATGTGATTGGCATAAGAAGAGAAACATACTATCAATGTTTAATCTTGTTATAATTTGGTTGAAGTATTTGCATTAGCAGTTTACATGAAAGAAAAAAAGGCATTTTGCTTTTGTTTGCTCTGTTGGTCCGAGCACATAAGTTGATTTCCTCATATAGCAAAATTGCACTTATATGTGTTGTTTTTAATTACTTTCGATGAATCATTGGGGAGGTACTGAGATAGTAGTGTTTTAATATTCGATAGTATAAATTGTTTTTTTAATAAAAAATTAGCGATTAAAGAATTCGTTGGATCAAGTTAAAACTAGTGTTGCACGGAAGTTCCATAATTACCTAAAATTCATCGAGAGGTTGATTGAAGTTTTAATTTCTCCCTTTGACTAAAAGACATTTTTTTTTCTTTTCTTCTTTTTTTGGAATGACCTTCACCAACACTATCTTTATTAACCTTAATTAATTTCCTACATACTCTCGTACATATATGGTTTAGTGATATGATATACTTCCTCCGGTCCTTATATTTTGATTTATTTTAGGTTTAACCTAATACTTATTTTTAATTAATAAAAAAACCTTAAAAATATTTTATAACAATCAAGAGAATACAACGAACGCGAAAATATATTTTTAAAGTTTTTTCGTCAATTAAAAATGTATACTAGGTTAAACCTAGGACAAAATAAAAATATTTTATATTAAGGACCGGAGTGAGTATCTTTCTAAAAAATTTAACATTCAAAACTCAATGTAAATTTTTTTAGTAAAATTTTTTTTAGATTAATTAAGAATACTTTGCGATGATGATAAATAATTTAGAATTTAGATTGATGATTAACCTCTATTAAAAATTACTTTGGTGGAGTTCCCTTATTAGTCCCCCCCGGCTGTCCACCATTGATGATGTCGCTGATTTCCATTATTTATTGTTGACTTCGAAGAAAAAACCTTAACAACAAACTGTAGTACAATTTACACCTACAAGGGTTCTAGTAGTTTCTACCATATTCGGAGCTTTTGACGTGAATTTCTGTCTTCAATCTGGCAAATTTGACGCCCAAAGCCTTCCACGCTACCAATAAAAGATTCCGAAAGAGCACCGAAACGACGTAGTTCGTCGATACGACATCGTAACGAACGCAAATTCCACCAAAAAAAAATGCGCGTTCCCCGCATAATCACGTCATCATCTCTCTATCTTTTTCTCCGTCACTCTCTTTCTCTCTCTAAAAGCAGACGACATGTAACAGGAGAAGAAAGAGGCAAAGTTTAGCTCAGCACCCCCCCTGTAAAACCCTAGCTTTTTGTAGAATCAGTCCTCCAAAAAAATGCAAATCCATAATTACCCCCTTCCTCTCTCACCCCGTTAATTTTTCTCCAAGTCATTCAAATCAGCTCAATCTCGATTCTTTTCTTTTTATTTTTTACTTCATAAATCAGATTACCAAATCCACTTTCTCTCACTAAAAGAATCCTCTGCTCTCCCCTACGGATTTCTTCTTCTCTCTCTAAGCGCTCTATCTTCTTCTAGTCGGAGATTCTATTCATTTCTTCTTCGCAGCTCCAATCGGTATGTTTCTTTTTGAATCTCCTCCTTGATGGTTATGCTTTGATTATCTGACTTAATTTGCTTTGCTTCCTTGCTTTTACTTTGGAATCTTACCGGATATTAATTTATTAATGAGGCTAGGGTTTGCTTTTGCTACGATTGAACCGATCGGTCTCGGAATCTTGTTGTCGAGATCGTTCGATCTTTATTTGTTAGCTGTTGTTTGTTTCGTTGTACTTATTCTGACTGTCGTTGCGATGCGGTTCTGTGGACGTTTCAGCTGCTTATTGCACTATATGCTTCCTAGAAAGAGAGCGGCTGAAGGAGAGGAAGTAGTTGACGGAGATAGCAAAATTGATTCTGGTACTACTAGTAGCGGTTGTGATACAGGGAGCGTAGTGAAGAAGCTTCGGATCGAAGGTTCGGTTTCGGCCACGTCCACTGATAAGGTGAGCAGCGAAGTTCCAATTAGCGGTGACGGTGTTGATTTAGGCAGTTCCAGCAACGGTAAGGGTAGTGCTACTGAGAAGACCTTGACAGATATGGCTTTCGATGATGGGAATCCTCATGATATCGATGAAGATCTCCACAGCCGGCAGCTTGCTGTTTATGGTCGGGAGACTATGCGCAGGCTTTTTGCTTCTAATGTCCTTGTCTCTGGGATGCAAGGTCTTGGCGCTGAAATTGGTATGTTTTCTTCCTCTGTCTGGCTTCTGATTCTAGTTGTTGAGGTTGATGTCGTGCTAGACCTCTAGATGGATATGTAAGTCATAAGCATGTTTAGTATATTTGTCCATAACTTCCAGGTTTCTTCCATTGAGTTTGTTTTACAATGGATATGTTTGAATTTGCTGTACTATGTTTACCTGTTAAACCTTATCTGTTCAGTCTCTGATTGAAGATAGTCTCTCACCTAGTTGCTTTAGCATATTTACTACTGGTATGAGCTTGATATAACTTGTATGCTACACTGCATGACTCTTCTTTCAATCATATTGTGTGAGAAATTATATTCAAGCATGATGTATTACCATCCAAGATAAGGATTTGTTCAAATGTGGAGTAGCATAAATGCTTAGCCATCCAATCTAGCCAGCTACCTCACAGTCAAATTGAAAATTTGATATCAATATTTATGCAAGTATATCTTCACTTGCTTTATCACAAAATATCAACATGCTTTGTGTTAATCCCAGCCAAGAACCTGATACTTGCTGGTGTGAAGTCTGTGACCTTGCACGATGAGGGTTCAGTGGAGCTTTGGGATCTCTCAAGCAACTTCATTTTCACAGAGAATGATATTGGTAAAAACAGGGCACTTGCATCTGTTCAAAAGCTGCAAGAGCTTAACAATGCTGTGTTAGTTACTGCACTTTCTACAAAGTTGACTATAGAACAGCTCTCTGATTTCCAGGTATCAGTCCTTACAACTGACTACCTTGTTTGTAATGTGATTTTTGGACGTGCATATGAACTTTTGGCTTTCGCATGTGTTGTATTGTTCTTTCATTCTCAAATATGACAGATGCTTTGATGCTGCTTGACTTGTGATTTGAAAGTTTGTTTTTTTCTCCTTTAGTATGTTTAGGGTGTTTTTCTTGTTTTGTGTTTGTTTTTTTTTTTTTGGGCGGGGTGGGGGTGGGGATGGTATTTAGGTGGTGCAATATATAACCTCTATGAATCTCAGAAGAACCTTTTGATTTGAAGCTATTCATCTAAATGCTTGATGCTAAGAACTGCTCCTTCCATGCCGAAATTATTGTCTGCTAAAATTGAAAATCCAAACTGGACGATAATTTCGGGACAGAGGTAGTATTTGATTTGAAGCCATTCATCTAATTCCGTGATGCTATACACTTGGTTCACTGGTTACAGGAAATATTCTTATATAGAATTATTATTAACTATTATTCTTGTAGTTTCGGAGTGAGTATAGCTGATAACATAGTTGCTGATTGCAAAATACTTTTAGTTTTCTGTTTCCTTACTGTATTTGAGTTCCTTTTTATTCCTTCCTCATGATAGTCCTGTCAGTTCTAGTTTCTTATATTTCTTTCTAGTGCACTCTGACAGGGAATGTATAGATGGGATTGATTCGAGTGATTTTACTTTGTAAATGAAAGATTACTGTCTTTGCTGAGGATTTCCTTTTTGATAAAATATCTCTTTTAGTTTTGGTAGGTTTGAGTCAGCACGGGTATTGTTTGTTTGGCTTTCCTTACTGACTTGTTAATTTCATGTGTCCAAATTTTGCATTGCTTTATTTACACGCCTGTTACTTAACAAGGACAACACGTGACTGTGATGGCTATCATTGTGCAGGCTGTAGTTTTTACTGATAGCAACTTAGATGATGCAATCGCTTTCAATGATTTCTGTCATAATCATCAGCCACCAATTGCTTTTATAAAGACGGAAGTAAGAGGCCTTTTTGGGAATATATTTTGTGATTTTGGCCCGGAATTTACTGTTCTCGATGTTGATGGGGAGGAGCCTCATACAGGTATCATTGCATCTATCAGTAATGATAATCCTGCTCTTGTGTCATGTGTGGATGATGAGAGGCTCGAATTTCAAGATGGGGATCTTGTTGTGTTCTCAGAGGTTAAAGGAATGACAGAACTGAATGATGGAAAGCCGAGAAAAGTACGAAACACTAGGCCATTTTCTTTTACCCTTGAGGAGGATACTACAAATTTCGGTATGTACGAGCGAGGTGGCATTGTAACACAGGTGAAGCAGCCTAAGGTCTTGAACTTTAAACCACTGAGAGAGGCTATCAAAGACCCTGGCGATTTCCTTCTCAGTGATTTCGCGAAGTTCGATCGTCCTCCTCTGTTGCATTTGGCCTTCCTAGCTTTAGATAAGTTTGTAGCTGGACAGGGGCGTCTCCCTTTTCCAGGTTCAGAAGAGGATGCTCAGAAACTGATATCTCTTGCCAGGGACTTGAATGAAACCCAAGGAGCTGGAAAACTGGATGATATTAACCCGAAACTTCTGCAGCATTTTTCCTTTGGTGCTCGAGCTGTTTTGAATCCCATGGCTGCCATGTTTGGAGGTATTGTCGGTCAGGAAGTTGTAAAGGCATGCTCTGGAAAATTTCATCCACTCTTTCAGGTGATTGTTCACCTCTTTTTGAATTTTATCGCTTGTCTATTGTGAAACTCATGGCTTCCCTTCTCACCCTTAATTTTCCCCTTTTTTTTCCCTTGATTTTTTACCAAGGCCGTGGAATCTGGTTATAACTGATTTATATCTTCTGTTTCAGTTCTTCTACTTTGACTCAGTTGAGTCTCTTCCCACTGAGCCTCTGGAACCGAGCGACTTCAGGCCATTAAATACTCGTTATGATGCTCAAATATCAGTTTTTGGTGCAAAACTTCAGAAAAAGCTGGAAGATGCTAAGGTGTTTCTTGTTGGTTCTGGTGCCCTTGGGTGTGAATTTCTCAAGAATTTGGCTCTAATGGGAGTTTCTTGTGGTAAAGAAGGGAAGCTGACTGTTACTGATGATGATGTTATAGAGAAGAGTAATCTTAGTAGACAGTTTTTATTTCGTGATTGGAATATTGGCCAGGCCAAATCAACCGTTGCCGCTTCGGCTGCTTTGTCCATAAACCCCAATCTTCACGTTGAAGCTTTGCAGAATCGTGTTGGTCCTGAGACTGAGAATGTATTTGATGATGCCTTCTGGGAGAACTTGACTGCTGTTGTAAATGCTCTAGACAATGTGAATGCTAGGCTTTATGTTGACCAGAGATGCTTGTACTACCAGAAGCCTCTTCTTGAGTCTGGTACTCTTGGAGCCAAGTGCAACACTCAGATGGTCATTCCTCACCTGTCTGAAAACTATGGTGCATCGAGAGATCCCCCTGAGAAGCAAGCACCTATGTGCACTGTGCATTCATTTCCACACAATATTGACCATTGCTTGACCTGGGCCAGATCAGAGTTTGAGGGCTTGCTTGAAAAAACTCCTGCTGAGGTGAATGCCTACCTTTCCAATCCCAGTGAATATGCATCTGCAATGAGAAATGCTGGTGATGCTCAGGCGAGGGACAACTTGGAGCGCGTTCTGGAATGCCTCAGTGAGGACAGATGTGAAACTTTCCAAGATTGTATTAAATGGGCTCGTCTTAGGTAATTGCAAGATATCTCAGTTTTCTTAATCTATGGTAGGGAGTAGGGACTAGGGAGACAGGATTTTTATACTTTGCTATTTCTATAATATTTTCGTTTTGGAAAAGTAGTTAATATAATGATGTGTATGTACAGGTTTGAAGATTATTTTGCCAACCGTGTTAAACAGCTGATTTATACCTTTCCTGAAGATGCCGCAACCAGCAATGGGGCACCGTTTTGGTCTGCTCCCAAGCGATTCCCCCATCCTCTCCAGTTCTCTGAAGCTGATCCTAGTCATCTTCACTTTATTATGGCGGGATCCATTCTACGTGCTGAGACATTCGGTATCCCTGTTCCTGACTGGGTCCAGAATCCTAAGAAATTGGCTGAAGCAGTCAATAAAGTCATCGTACCTGACTTTCAGCCCAAGAAAGATGCGAAAATCGTTACAGATGAGAAGGCTACAACTTTATCTACTGCTTCCATAGATGATGCTGCTGTAATCAATGAACTGTTATCGAAGCTAGAGCATTGTCGGAAGAATTTAAGTCCAGGGTTTAGGATGAAACCAATTCAATTTGAGAAGGTAAATTTCCTCTCTGAAAAGTGTTTACAGACTCTTCTGAATCATTTGAACCTTGAAAAGCATCTGATTGTTTGAACTTCTCACATCAGAATTTACTACGTAATTTATCAGCATAAAAGTTGAATGTGTCTTGCCTTGAATTTGTTACGTTTAAGTCTGTGCTGTATGAGATCTGCTGCATCCCTTTCTATTTAGTGCTTGTGATGGTTATTGAAACAAGGTGCTTATATGGGGGTCCAACTGTTGCTGAGTTCATCTGGAGTCTCATTTATGTTTCCCTCATTAACTTTGCTGTGATTGAATATGGATGGAGTTTTTGGTTTTGTATCTGCTAGGTTGAGTTCGTTTCCTTCCGTCTTCAGCATGTGATATCTAGACTGAGTTGAGATCTATTATTGGTGATGGATCTGAATTTCTACTTCATTCTTCCTCAATCTTTTTACATTAATGCGTATTCAGGATGACGACACAAATTATCACATGGACATGATAGCCGCCCTTGCTAATATGAGAGCAAGAAATTATGCCATTCCTGAAGTTGACAAGCTGAAGGCCAAATTCATAGCTGGTCGGATCATTCCAGCTATTGCTACGTCCACAGCATTAGCTACAGGCCTGGTTTGCCTTGAGCTTTACAAGGTTCTGGATGGAGGACATAAGCTAGAGGATTATCGCAACACATATGCTACTTTAGCTCTGCCTTTCTTCTCTATGTCTGAGCCCGTTCCACCGAAGACCATTAAGCACCAGGACATGAGCTGGACTGTGTGGGACAGATGGATAGTAAAAGATAATCCTACCCTGCGGGAATTACTCAAGTGGCTCTCTGACAAGGGTCTAAATGCTTACAGCATCTCATGCGGTAGCTGCTTGCTGTACAATAGCATGTTCCCCAGGCACAAGGAAAGGATGGACAAGAAGGTCGTAGACCTGGCGAGGGAAGTGGCAAAGATCGAGATTCCTGCTTATCGCAGACACTTGGATGTTGTGGTGGCTTGTGAGGATGACGATGATAATGACATTGATGTCCCTCTCATTTCGATTTACTTTCATTAGCTCCATTAGCACGTGTTTGAAGTGGAAAGAAACATAACTTGCATGGCAGCTTATTCCGGCGTATTCCTGATTACCTTTCGAGTCAGTGAGCCTCATGTACTATTAGTATTAGGGTAGTTTCTTCCTTTTGAATAAACAGGAGGATGATAAAATGACTGATAAGAATGAGATGTTACTGTTGCACGTTAGAGAAGCAGCATCCATTCAGTGCTTATTTTTATTACGAGTTTGAAACGGTGGTTTTTGTCTCAATTCTTGTTGCCTTTTGTTTTGGGAGTGAAGATTGGAGTTCTTTGTTGCTCTAGCTTCATGCAACAGGTTGAGTTGTTGATACTGGCTCAGCTGCAGCAATTCATTGAAAACTTATAAGATTTTACTTATGTAGTGCTGTCGGTGTCCTTTATCCAATGGTTGGCTTTTCTACCGTCACACCGGAGTGACTTTTTAAGTGTTTGAACCGCCAATACAATTGTGCTTCTTAATTCAGATGATAGGTTGCTTATTTGTCTCATGCCATTGAAATGATGCGCCATCGCTTCTTCAATGTACATTGTAAACTTTTCTGTTTAAAATAAAATTTTGCTTAATCAAACTTTCTAACTAACAAAAGTCAACATAATTATGACTTATGAACAGATATTAGATTGATAAACAGAGAAGGAACCAAGATCTTTAATCTTTATTTACCTAAACGTCGTTTGTAGACTTAAAAATGAGAACCAACAAACCTTTGCACAACAAATGCTTCCGAATGATTACTAACTTCAGTTTATTACCAACGAACCCCGTGCTAGGTCCTGGGATTCATCATCATTACGTTATTGGTACCCCCTTCGTCCTAGAAAGTAGTCCACATTATACAATTCAGAGGGTTAATTTCTCTATTTGAATATTTCTGGAGGGAAGCTTATCGATTTCATCATCAGCTTTGTTGAAGAAGACAGGAAAAAAGTTCCCAAAAAAACTCAGGCCCTGATGAATCTTTTCCATAATATCTTGTCCAAACTGAATCAAAAGTTCCTTTTTCTGCATCTTCTGAGAGCTCACTGTAGAAAACTAATAAACTGAACCCTTCGACATTATGTTCAATTTGAAAGATTGCCACTGATAGCTGAGGAAGTATCAACTGCACATAGAACTCTCCTCAGAAGACAATCGTCCCTATGTTGGAGGATCCTACATTTGCAAACTAGTAACAGATAACAAAGATCAGATTGAGCTCTATAAATCATTTGAGAACGAGAAATTGGCGAGAAACTGATTTCAAAACGCTGCAAATTACCCCTTTTTGAACCTGCACATCTATAGCATTCCGAATCCTTCTTTCCTCTGTTCAGTCAATCCAACCCATAGCCAAACAGTTTTCAAGCTTCCGCTACTTACAGGTAAACAAAGGAAAAAGAAGATTAGTGCCTCAACTCACCGTTTCAAATTTTCCTATAAAACCCTACCCACAATTAATTCAGTGAGCTCACCTGTCAATTCTCTTCCCCTCGCAAGAGTCTTTCATAATCAGTTTCTTCCCTAATCAATTTTCAGCAGCTGTCAGCCTCAGCATTTCAAAACAAATTGCTTATCAGAACTTCTGCTTTTCTTTGGACATAATATGATTAAGAAAACACAAAATCTCAGTGAAATAAGAGCCATAAAAAACACCAAACCATAGCTGCAAAAATGGGCACTAATAATGAACCTTATGAGCTACAAAAAAAATGCGAAATTTTAACAGCCAAAGTCACTTCTAACATGGGGAAAAACCAAAGGAAGTGTCTTAAAATTTAAATTCAGAGAGATCTTAAAGTATACAATATTAAAAGTAACTTAGGTATCAATAATTTAGAAGTGTAACTCTCATGAGCGATAAAGTTCAAGGACATTCAATGACGCAACCTATTGTGGTTCAGGGATTGAGGCAAAGATTACTTGAAATTGTGAGGTTACACAAATCTCGTTAAGTTTCATTTTTATCAACAATTCTGCAGCCCATCTAAGTAGATTATTGACAACATGCATGGAACCAGCTAATGAGCAAAATATAACCCCAAAGCAGATGAGGAGCACACACATTTGCAAAGTCTATCTAAAATTAAGCCAAAGAATGTCTTATAGTAGTCAAAAAATTTATCAAATCGTAGGGTACCATTTCTGTTTAATTAAATAGCGAGGCTTGAGCCTCTCTTCATTGTAAAAAAAATATATTATCAACTAGTCCATCATCTTTAATGGTGATAAAACTCAATTCAAGGAAGTTCCCTAAAGTTTTTTTTTTTCCCCCTGACAAAGGCAATGTTCGTGCCTTTCCTTGCCATTACGAATTGAAGAGTGAAGACCACGTAATAGTTCTTTTCGAACATACACTGTGGTCCTCTTGTTTCAGAGGACACCATAAACATGACAATCATCGTCTTGGGACGAATGCAAGTATCAAAGAAGGGAAATTTCACGGAATAAATCAAGCCAAGGTGCTAAACTTAACAAAACCAAACAACACGTTAATGCACTTCCCACTATTTTTAGAGCCCAAATAAGGAAAGGAGCGTATAGGTTTTGATTAAAACTGAAGAATTCCCTAAACCCGCGAAAGTTATTGAAAAAAGTCAAAAACTAGTCCGCGCCTTTTCTCTCATCCCACATTAGTTAAAATGAAAATCACGTGAAATTCTCTTTTACCGTGTATATTTATTGAGTAATATATTTACCAAAAATGAACTAAGTCCAGTAATTTCCAAGAAACTGAAGATGAAAAACAACTCAGTAATTTCATCGAAATTCAGCCCTCCATTAATTTCCGCGCACAGAATTACCAGATTAACTGGACAACCAGATCACACGCTCTTCTTCTCCACTCCCAACTCGAATTTTGATTCCGGAAACCAAAACGATATCCGAGAGATAACCGCTTCACATCCTAGAGGAAACAACTCTGAAACTTCCTTCAAAGCAGCTTATAAAATACGCTCACAGTCGCTATCACTTTTCCTTCAACACAATTTCAACCTCCATTCTACGAGCAGCTTTTTTTTCTTCTTGCCCAGAAAACCCTTGTTTTTTCTTGCTTTATTCATCTTCCTCAGGGCTTCAAATTTTCCGCCATGATGATTCCATTGAGAGATTTTGGCTCCAGAAAGATTCGCAAGAGATGGCAATTGGCATTCAGGGCTCTTTCCTTCGTGACCTCCTTATCCAAGAAGGTGGCGATGAACAGTGCCCTGCTGCTTGGCCCTGCTGTCAATCGTACTCAATCTTATGTTTCAATTGATATGCCTACCACCATTACTGATCCTGGATTTTTGGCTGATCTTGACAAAGATTCGCTTGCTAACTTGGTTAAAGACAAGAGCTTTGATGATCTTCAGAAATTTGGAGGGACCAAGAACCTCGTTTCAATGCTGGAAACTGATGAAAGGAATGGGCTTTCCTGCGATCTGGGTGGTATGAAGAAAAGGGTTGAGGTTTTTGGTTCCAATACTTACAAGAAACCACCGGTGAGAAGCTTCTTGAGTTTTGTTGTGGAAGCTCTGAAAGATTCGACTATTATTATACTCTTTGTTTGTGCTGTTTTGTCTCTTGGGTTTGGAATCAAACAGCATGGGATCAAGGATGGGTGGTATGATGGAGGGAGCATAATTCTTGCCATTGTGCTGGTTCTTGCTGTGTCTGCTATCAGTAATTTCAAGCAGAGCAGGCAATTCACGGAGCTGTCCAGCCAGAGTAGCAACATTGAAGTGGAGGTTATGAGAGATGGAAGGAGGCAATCTGTGTCTATCTATGATGTTGTTGTGGGTGATGTTGTCTGTTTGAACACTGGGAATCATATTCCAGCTGATGGGTTGTTCTTGGATGGGCATTCGATGAAGGTTGATGAATCGAGTATGACCGGAGAGAGTGACCAGGTTGAGATTTCTGAGATTGACAACCCTTTTCTCATCTCTGGTACAAAGGTGATGGATGGCTATGGACACATGCTTGTTACTTCAGTGGGGATGAATACTGCATGGGGACAGATGATGAGCACCATAACTCATGATGTCAATGAAGAGACTCCTTTACAGGCTCGGTTGAACAAGCTGACATCTTTCATTGGGAAGGTGGGATTATTGGTGGCTTTTCTTGTTCTTGTGGTTTTGATGATAAGGTACTTCACAGGGAACACTTCTGATGATAGTGGGAGGAAGGAGTTCATCAAAGGTCAGACCAACGCTAATCATGTCATGAATTCAATGGTCGGAATCATTGCTGCAGCTGTTACTATTATAGTAGTTGCAATCCCTGAGGGTCTGCCTTTGGCTGTCACACTAACCTTGGCTTACTCCATGAAAAAAATGATGGCTGATAATGCCCTCGTTCGGAAGTTATCAGCATGTGAAATAATGGGATCAGCTACAGTCATCTGCACTGATAAAACTGGTACCCTCACCATGAATAAGATGCTGGTTACCGAATTTTGGTTTGGCAAAGAGTCAATGCAGCTCGGACGTTCAACAGAGATCATCAGACCTGGTGTTCTTGAATTGCTACAACAAGGTGTTGGTATGAATACAACAGGGGAAGTCCATGCATCACCAACATCAGCTTTTCCTGAAATTTCTGGTAGCCCAACTGAGTCTGCCATTCTCTCTTGGGCCATCTCTGACATGCAAGTCAACTTCCAACAACTTAAGGACCAGAACACGATCCTCCAAGTTGAGCCTTTCAATTCTCAGAAGAAAAGAAGTGCCATCCTGGTGAGGAACAATGATACAGGAGTTCTTCAACTGCATTCGAAGGGCGCAGCAGAGATAGTCTTGGCAATGTGTTCAACTTATCATGCCAGGAATGGCATGCTGCAAGCTATCAATGGGGACGAGAGAAAGCAACTTGAAGCAATAATCACAGATATGGCGGCTAGAAGTCTGAGATGCATTGCTTTTGCATGCAAAATGCTGAACGAAGGCAGTGAATTGAGAACTGAGCTTCTTCAAGAACCTGGTCTGACACTGTTAGGGTTTGTGGGTCTGAAGGATCCATGTCGCCCAGAAGTCAAAGCTGCAGTAGAATCTTGCAGAAAAGCTGGAGTTGGCATCAAAATGATCACTGGAGACAACATTTTCACAGCACGTTCAATAGCACTCGATTGTGGGATTCTCAAACCCGATGAAGATCTGAATGATGCAGTGGTTGAAGGTGTAACTTTCAGAAACTACTCACCAGAAGAAAGAATGGAAAGAATCGATAGAATTGAGGTGATGGCGAGGTCAACCCCATTTGACAAGCTTCTGATGGTACAATGTCTGAAGCAGAAAGGCCACGTAGTAGCTGTTACAGGTGATGGAACTAACGATGCCCCTGCACTAAAAGAAGCAGATATCGGTCTGTCAATGGGTATACAAGGCACAGAGGTGGCAAAGGAGAGCTCAGATATAGTTATCCTCGATGATAATTTCAATTCTGTAGTGACAGTTTTGAAGTGGGGCAGATGTGTTTATAACAACATTCAAAAGTTCATCCAGTTTCAACTCACAGTCAATGTTGCAGCTCTGGTCATCAACTTGGTTGCTGCAATATCATCAGGATCAGTACCACTCACTGCTGTTCAGCTTCTCTGGGTGAACCTCATTATGGACACTCTAGGGGCATTGGCCTTGGCAACTGAACAACCGACCGATGATCTCATGACCAAGAAACCTGTTGGGCGAACTGAGCCCCTTATAACAAAAATTATGTGGCGAAATCTCATTGCTCAGGCTGTGTATCAGGTAACGGTCTTGTTGGTACTGCAGTTTAGAGGCAGCTCAATCTTTGGTGTGAACAAGAATGTCAAGGACACGCTGATTTTCAATAGTTTTGTCTTCTGCCAACTTTTCAATGAGTTCAACGCAAGGAAGCTGGAGAAGAAGAACATATTTGAAGGCATACTGAAGAGCAGACTATTTCTTGGTATAGTGGGGATTACTGTGTTCCTTCAAATCATCATGGTGGAGCTGTTGCAGAGGTTTGCAAGCACTGAAAGACTGAACTGGGGACAGTGGGCAGCCTGCATTGGAATAGCTGTAGTATCATGGCCAATCGGCTGGCTGGTTAAATGCATCCCTGTTACAAGAAAACAAGAGTAAGAAGTGTTCTTAGGTACTAGACTTAGAGAAAGACGGATCTTTGTAATTTGTAAATGCCAAAGCTGCTATAAATATGGACCTAGGAAGCTTAGTTTTATATCAAACAAGTGTGCAGCAGCTTTAGAATTTTAGTTCTTCGGATCGTAATAGTTTACAGTTTCATAATTCAGAAATAGACAGTCACCCCTATGAGCTTAATTTGCATCTTTTGAGCTATATCTTTCTTAATAACCATTTTGTTTCTAATAACTGTGAACTTTTAAGAAAATCCAGCAGACACATTGTCAATCTTTCTTAAACACAAACTTGTCAATCATTCTTAAACGCAAAATACTCTTGCTTATTTATCATTCAAACCGAAATCTCAATGGCTGTGAGTTGAAAAGACAAAATGACAAGAACTGGCTTGAATGTCCCAATATCCAAACAGATAAATTAAACTTCCACAGCCACCTTAAGAGTAATCTCTCAAGCATATTCTCAATATGAAAGTGAGCCCTGGACCACTACTAAACTCCAAACAAAGTGAGGCGTGGAGTTACTAATTCTAAATTAATCCCAGTCATCTAAATAATAAATATACTAGTATTTTCCAGAATCCCCAAACGATTAAAATTCAAATCTCCAGACAAACTGCAAATGCTACATATAATATATTTTCCAGAAAGATTACATTTTTTTTTGGGGGTAAACAATTCAATGTAGCAAGCAAATTAGGGCTTCTAATGTATACAAAACAAGACAAAAAACAAGTTGCAAACTCACAAAATGGCCGAAAACAATCACAAGCATGTCAGGACAGAGTAAACATGAGAAGGGGTCCTCACCAAAAACCTAGTTGTAGCATTTGAAGGCAATGAATTGTCAGAGGGGAAAAATGCCGGCCCCTCAGTCCCTACAAACTTCTCACAGGTCACAAAAAATCAGAGTATCAATTTGTCAAGCTCGGTCCCAACTCTGAACTCCATCACCGGATTGGATTGGTGGGGGGCAATTTTCAAAATTGCAGCAGAAAATGGGGGCAAATTTTGTCGCTGCCTCTTGAGACTTGAGAGATAAAGCTGAGGAGGAAGATTCAGTATGGATGGTGAAACTGAAGAGGTTGAGGTGTGAAAACAACTTCTTTTTGGTCTGTAACTATGGAGTTCAATTTATACCAGTACGTTAACATTTCCAAACTTTAAAAAAAAAAAAAAAAAAAGAACCCAAGGCTATTTTAGTTTTAATTTTTTAATTTCGTTATTTGAAATATAAAAAGTAAAGAACATCAAATGATTACAATCTGCAGAACACCCATCCTAATTATAATGAATAAAATGTGAACTAATTTTAGTGTTAGTTTTTTGTGCATTAATGATAAATTTGAACCATCTTTACTGCTAATTTGTGCATCATAATAAAGTCAAAGAAAGAATAATAGACAAGACTTTTGTTTAAAGTCATAATTACAATATTTTTATTACCTTAATACTCTCACTGTGTGTCAAAATAAATCGTTCACATTGGGCAATTGTCATTTGGGTGTTGGGGATGCCTAATAATAACTCTCAAAGACACAATTAAGGAATGCAACAGAGGAAGGCAAATTTTTCTCGAGATTTGATGTGAAACGTTAATTTCCTACTACATTTCAAAATTGAATTTTTTCGCTCCTATGGTTGGTTTATAACCTTTGTTTCGATACTTTGTAATTTTGTTTTTGTTTTTTTTTTTTTTTTTAAATTTATTTGCAATCAGAAGATCCGGGTTTACAACCACTCTTGATGGTATATGTTGGATGGCATTTAGGTTTTTTGTTTTCCCCTTCAGCCCGGGTGTTAATAAAACTTGAAGATGCGTTCAGACTTGAAACTAGAGGTTCAAGATCTTATCCAGGAAGCTAAAGAAGCAAATGACAAGGTTCATTTGAAGAAATCGTTGGGATTCGAGGTTGACAGCCTTTGCATTTGGAGAAAGTCATATGTAAACAAATTTTTTTTTTTGCTTCTTCTTTCTGGTTTGGTTAAGCCATTACTCCCTCCTCCTCCGGTCATAATTATAAGGCATTTTAGTTTGGCTAAGTCATCACTTCCTCCTCGTCCGGTCATAATTATAAGGCATTTTAGTTTGGTTAAATCACTACTCCCTCCAATCTTTCTTATAAGTCTTATGGCTAGAAATGTGCTGTTATTAGTCTCGTGCATCAACATATTTTGATCCTGCCCCTCCCCCCGGTCGGAAGCCAGAGATAAGGCAAACAAACAAACAAAAATGAATCAAACATTTCACTACGTGTGCCAGAAGAGCCTGACGCTCATCAACCTTGAGCATCCATTAGCAGCCCTTAAACACTGCAAGATCAAAACGGACGACCCTTTTTGCAGCAGTACTATTGGACTCGTCGACAAGAGGAAAGAAGTCCAGTCGAAGAGGATAGCCCGGATAAAGATAGAGGGTTACTGAGCTCCACACCATGTTGGCCATGGAAACCATATACAGAAGTTCGAGTGGGCAAGTCAAGGACACATGTTGTATCAGGGTGAAGGAGATAGCTTCACTCCGCGGCAATATCGAAAACAAGTGCAAAAATTAACATCAGCCCAATCTCACACATTCCAAAATGGAGGTGAGTTTGGGATATGGATATATATAAACATTGCATATACATTATTACCTCATAAAAGAGAGAATAGCCTTTGGCCGAGAATTTAATACCTTCAGGCGACACAGATATCTTAACTGAAAAAAAAAAAAAAGAAAGAGAAAAGCAAAGTTTAAAGGACTTTGAACACCAAAACAGTCAGTTAGACTTTCAGTCGATTGGCACAGATGATACAGAACCCTAATACTACTTAGACTAACTACCGATTTAATCCTTTTACATTTCTCTATCCCCTATAAAAGAAACCTCTACAAGTACATAAAATTTTTGTTTTTTTGGAGTATAATGGCATCATCAGTATACATATAACGAAGAATAAGTCAGCCGGAAAACCCAACAGCATATATGTATTAAGAATAATTTTAATTCTGGAGCGAAGAAGAAAATAAAATTCATGAAATTTTGTTTTATTAATGGACGACTTGTACGTGTGTTTTAATTAGTGAAAGGGAAAAGAGCCTCTGCAGCAGAAGCATCAACATGGCTGCCTCAATATCTGTCTTGTAATCCTTACTCTGATTTCTTTTTCAATACTACCCCCGTCCCCCAAAAAAAAATAGTCCACATTGAGTTTTCAAATTTGTACTAAAAATAGTATAAAACTCAAAACTCAATGTGGACTGTTTTTTTAGGACGGAAGTAGTATAATAATTGTCGCTTTTGACCAAAAAAAAAAAAAAAAAAACCCTTACTCTGATTATAATTTGTCACTAGGGTTCACTCATCGCTGGCTGGAACCCGGAATCGGTAAATCAGTAAATCTTTTAGAATGATCTCTTTTCATTTTCGATTTTTTCCAATGATGCCTATATTGTTGAAGATTCAATTAATGCCTCTGTGAATAGTAAATTCTTGTTTGGTTTCTTCATTGCTACAAAATTGATAAAATTCATACTTTTTTTTTTTAACTTAATTCTTGTTTGGTTTTATATCGTATTTAGCACCACTTACAGATTGTAATGACTCTTTGGCAACACTTCCAAATCTCGAGCTTGATCTTGTGGTTTGTGTAGTACACCTACATTTTCGGAATTGGATCTGGGATTAGATCGCAGAACCTCTTGTTAAATTATGTTAATCTTCCTGTCTTTTCCCTTTTTCTTTTTTTTTTTTTTGTCATAAATAATCTATGGCTTGAGATTAATTCGAAGGGAATATAAGTTGTCAATTTTGAAATCTTGGTAATGTAGAGTTCATTTACAAATTAAATAGATTAGGAACATAAAAATAAAATTACTAATAAGAGAAAAAAAAAATTATCCAAAATAACGAGCCAAGCCTGATGGCCATCCTCTCTTCTAAATATGCTTTAGGGTTTAGGGTTTAGGGTTCAACCAGTGATTCCAAAGACATTTGATCATATACACAACCTGTTTTTCCAGCTACAAAATGGCCCCAACAATCCAGTGAATTCCATATCGCCGTTCATTGTGTATAGCTCAATATAAAAATTAGTGAGCCGTATACTTTCATATCAGGAATGCATCTTGCACAATGCTAGCTTCCCAAAGGTAAAAAGAAGAGTGTGAATTAGCTCTTGTCGGCACCTTCATCAAACTCAGCAGAGCTGGTGACACGGAAATCCAGTTGCTTCTGATGTTTTAAACGGCGACGAGTATCAAAATCTTCCCATCCTTCAAACTACCAAGACAAGATATAAAGCAGACATGGTCGTGAACTAAAAGGCAAAAAGGAGGCATGATATGACCATTTGATGAGGTAACAAGGAGAAAGTACCTGACGAAGAAGATCCATCGTTACTTCTGTACCATGCAGATCTAAAATGGAAAGCTGGCCACACGTTTTGAATAGGGTTCTTGGGAGGGAGTGCAAGCCATTGTTACTCAAATACAGAGCCTGTAATGTATGTGAAAGGTGGAAATGATCATATACAATGTATAGACAACTCATACGTGTTAGGTTGTCAAATGATTATTAAAACACGTTTACTTGAAAAGAGCAAACATTAGAAAGATGTTTACTTCCAAAAACACATGATCTGGTTCAAGTTCCCGCAATTGAATTCAAAATTCAACAGAATCATGCATTATTAACATGGTCAAGCTGAGAAGACGAGAATGAACCCAAGACATCCATACAAATAGTGACCACGAACAACACATTTACCTTTAAATCCTTTAAATTTCCAACGGTTTCAGGCAATTCCACCAAGAGATTCGACGAGAGATCCACCTTCAAAAAGAGGAAATTGTGATTATGGTCTGGCGAAAAACAATGTTGGAGGCAAAGCGAGAAACAAACAAATTTTCTAACCGGACTGATTTGCCTTGAATTAGGATTTGGATAATACAACAGAAAATGCGACACCAAAAAGCAGTGTTGTACCTCGACCAGGGAAATGCACCCCCCTATGCTGTCAGGAATTCTGTTTATCCTGCGTTGAGCAAAAGGTATGTTCTTGATGAGAATGGATCACTGTTTAACTATTCTGTATCTTTAATTCAAACTAGTCTCTGAAACATGGTTTTACTAATTGGGTCTAGAGCGTAAATATCTTTTAGGATAGTGCAGATTTTTGGGCATCAGATATAAAACAGATCTGAAAAGTCGCATACTTAACAGAAATAATAACTACAAATTGTAATATCAGCAAAATCAAGTTTTTGAACAAGTTTCAGGATTAAGTATATATCATACCTGTTGTTATTTACCTTCAGAATTTGAAGTTCTGTTAGGAGCTCGATTTCAGAAGGGAGACTTATCAAGTCATTGTTTTCAACTTGGAGTTGCCGCAAAGATGTCAAAGCTCCCACTGCAGGAGGAAGCTCTGATAAACTGCTTAAATTCGCCCAAGAAATGATGAGGATAAGGGCTTCTTCTAGGGAAGAAAGATCAGCGTAACTCATATCTAACTCCGAACAGTTGAATGAATATTTTAGGAGATAATCAAAAGCTTTACAGAAACAATCAACTTACCTATTATGACTCAAGGACAGAATTGTAAGAGACTTGAGCGATTCTAGTCCTTTCCAGCTCAGTGATCCATCCACTAAATTGTTTGCATTAAGGAACAATTTCTATTTAAGATAGAAGAACAATAGTCATTTTCCGTAAAAAGATCTAGAGATGAGTTTTTCACATATCAAAAGCAAAAAGCATTTATTATAATAACCTGGATAGAGCTCAAAAGATTAATCTTATCTGGAATTTCTTGTATTGAATTACGGCTGAGATCAAGGACCCGAACAAAGCTTCTTAAACCATAAACTTCCTCAGGTATGGCCTTACAAGTATAAAAGAAATTCATTTAGCATGACACTTGCAACTAAGAAAATATTAGAGATCAGATTCAAAAAAAAAATAAAAATAAAAATAAAAGAAGAAGAAAAAGAAATACCATTTTTGCAAATCTAGAAGCATCGAGTAGACATGGCAGCATAACCTAAGGGCTCCCCATGATGAGAGGAAACTACCAACCAAAGAATCATATTCAACAACAACTAAGCCTTTATCTAACATGGTCGACTAAATAGATCATATTTTGTCATCGTCATCGCATGATTACATGTTTAGATAAAAATAGAAGGACAGCGGGAATGTGAACCGGATCACACATCTCATGCACCCCCCTTGGATCTGAGCTACAAATGGCCCCGAAATAAAGTACATATCAAGCAGAAATCTCACGATTCTTGACTAATCATGCCCCCAGAATTTTTTAACTGTATATAATGTTTCACAAACACGAGAACATATACCATTTCTCAACATATGAAGAACTACTACCACAGTTTCACGAAACTACGATTCCACATACATATCTAAAACATGATTATTGGGAACAGAAGAAATTGTCATTTTCAAGAGTATGCCTTCTTACTTTGAGACCATGTTCAGACAATGCCACAACTCCCGTACTCTTCCATCTTTGAACCGGATTAGGACCAGCTGCTTTTGCTTTATTTTCCCGGGTCACCATTGGAATTATTGTGTTCATCTGAACTCGTTCAAGCTCCTTTTTCGCAGGAACTTCCTTCTTTAGTGGACCACTCTATTCATTGACATCACGGTCAATATAAGCATAGAGTTACAACAGAATTCATAATCACAACACATTCTTATTTATAACCGAGGCTTGCATTAATCATACTCCAGCTAATATATAACTCAATTCAAATTTTAAGAATGGAAAGTATCATACCCCTTGGTGTAGGCCTTGACTTGCCATCAACATAATTTTAGAACCATTCGTAATTCCCAACGATTTCAACGTCATTTCATCCTCCAACACTTTCCCTATATGTAAACATATAAGTGAAAAAGAAATTGAAGAATTCCACTTGACCAATTCGAAATTAGAACATAAAAAAAAAAGGTTCAATTATAAATAAGAATCGAAAAGATGGTTACCTTTACAGATGAGCTTCTGACCACGAGGGAGTACATTGGTGAGAGGTTGAAGGGTGGATTTGAGGTTTTTGACGGTGGAGTCAACTGATATTTCTACCGGTATGGAACGTCCGCCGAACTGTATCTTCACTTTGATGGAATCGCTTGCTGTTGTGGCGTCTCCGCCGCCTCCGGCCTCCATTTTTTTTTTTTTTTTTTTTTTCACTTTTCTCCTTCTCCTCCTTTCACAGTTCTCAGTGATTTCACACCTGAATAATTCGTCGAAATTTTTCAGTTGCGTTTCTGCTTTTCTTCACCTGGGCCAAATTGGCCTGATACGGACAATGGGCTCAATAAAAAGGTACAGGTAAAACTATAATGGGCAGACTTAATACGTAAGCCTCTTTTTTAGATTTTCAAGACCCAATAAAAATCTATCTAATGAAAAAAATGAAGAATGGAATTTGATGGGAATGCAAGTCTTGAGTCTCTTGTGAAATTGGCATTTGTGATTTGATATCAATGTAATATATATTTGGTTAATAGAATGCTCTTTCTATCTTTATTGTTGGTAATTTTGCTAAGACATCCACCGTAGACAACATTACTTAGTTTTTTCGTTACATTATTAATATTTCGATAGATGAGACAACTGACCAAAAATTTAATTGAGGAATAATCTTTTTGATTAATACTTTCTTTTTGATAAATTGGAAACAAATTTATAGAAGTCATGAGCTAGTCATGGTTCGAAGAACGGTTATAAATCTTTCAACAGAGAGTAATAATAATGTTGCAGGTCGTTTTATCCTTGAAATGTAGAACTATTCATGCATTGCTATCTTTAGTTAGCCTCATTTTTTCACCATTGCGGGGTTTATTTTACCTCACCATCTTGTACTGCTCTGACAAAGTTACTCATAATATATATTAGTATTTAGTTATTTACTTCTACTCAAACTCAATTACTGTTTCCTCAAGAATAAAAGAAGTTGTATGGTAGTTTTCTAACAAAAGCACACCATGTGACTCGGCCTAAAAAGTTTTATGCCATGTTTCTGGATGATTGACAGTGACAAATAATCCAGCTAGGGGTAAAAACTAAAAAAATCAGATTAAAAATTAACAAAAGGATGATCATCATCGTATACAGTTGTACTTGTCCAATAAGTTCTGAAAAGTTCTTACGTTATTCAGAATTTTTGGCGGGATCCAACAAAACAATGTTCATCAATTATTACATCAACCAGAGTCAAGATCAGTATCCACTAAGCCAAAAAAATAAATAAAAAAAATAGAGGACCATTTTTAATTTATGTCCCTTTCAATTTTCAACATTTTTGATAAAGTTGCCTTCAATTAACAGCCATGTTTTTCTCTTTAATGATAAGAAGAATTCAATTACGAAAATGCATATAACCGAGGGAGACCGGAAGTCGCAACCTCATACTCCCCATTATGTTTTACTAACTTATGTATCTATACCGAAAACATTTCCAAGTTGTCATTATAAATTCCGATCCGCAAGGTGAATTTTTCAGTTCCGTCAACACTACACTCAGAAATAATTAATATTCTCGCCGTTTCATTTTAATAGTTAAGTTTATTAAATCGAAACAATGTTACATTATGGATTGTACTATATATAACAGGGTGAGAGTACTAATGCCGCATGGTCCTACTGGTGTTGTTGGTAAATCACATCAAAAAAGAAAATGAAGTTGCAGGGGTGGTTCAAAATCTAAGTAAAACCAACAACAGTGGGAAAGAATATTCGAGAGAGAGCGGGGGGGTGAGGGGGCATGTGGGAAAAATGGTGGGATTTTTTTTTTGAAGGCTTAAGGATTGAGGGACTTTTTCTTATCCAGATTGCACGACATGCACACATGAAGCTTTTTCAGAATCCACACACCCACTCTTTCTTCTTTGTCTAAGTGTTTGATTGAATTATTATTATTTAGTAGTAGGCTTCAGCTTTCAGCAAAGACGCCCTTGTGCCAATCTGCAGATTGTACTACTACTACACCCACTGCCTTGTCTCTTTTGCGTTAACTTTATTTATTTGCCATTCCCCCTTCTCCGGTCCACACTCGGACTTTGGCCTCTTCACCTTTTTTTTTTTTTTCTATCTAATTTGACAATTATCCGTTTCGAAATAAACATCTGTCAAGTTGATAATTAAATGACACTAAGCATAAGTTCATTTTAAATAGCAACAACAATAGCATTAAGATTGATGGGTAACGTAATATTAGAAATTTTGATACGATTCACTGATTAATAAACAATAGTTAATAAATATTATGGTATCAGAAATTTCGATACGATTTATTGATTAAATGATAGAACTTCCAAGCTTGATTTGATTGGACCGTCATATGTTGTTTAAAGTATAAAGTGATTTTCATATATATGTTATATTAAGACAATTATTATGAGGTTAACTGTATAAACACGCTGCAGACAGATTTTATCATGGAAGGTTGCAGGCACGACTCTGTTCCAAAGTGGCAACAATAGTAATTACTAAGTAGTTACTCCCACACTAGTTTTAGTATTAGTTAAATAAACAGCCTGTTTAAGTGTTAATTGAAATCACGTGAGATATGGGGCCATCCCTATAAACTAGTACTGCTGCTACTAATTAGTACTCCACAACCCAACTTTGAATAATTGGTGTTAGGAAATTTTGAGCCTCCCTTATTTACTCACGCCCAACACCTTTGAGCTCTGTAGCTTTTTAGGTCGTTAATGAATTTGTGAGCCCTAATTTTAATTTCCTTTTTGTCCATTTCAATGAAGAAATCATATCCTTTCTAAATACACGGCTCAGAACTAAAAAGGGGTGACTCGTGGAGATTTTGTGCAAACAATTTTACACCTAAAATGGTAAGAATAACTAGATGCTTGTCCCGAGCGCCTCCCATAATAAATTAACATGTAAATAATCAAAACTGATTAGGAATGAATTTAATTTTTTATGAAGATAATTGATTGATCGAAAATTAATTTTTTAGAAAGTCCTAAATAAGTGGAGAAGGAAAGTTCCATTTACTGTCAAATTCAAAATTTGAATGAACATGGCCATCTGATCTCTTCGTTAATATTGTAAATATATTTTTTGTTTTTAAAAGGAAGTGACACGTGGCAGAATGATTTATGCAATATGGTGCATTTGGAGCCAAAACCTTTTAATAAGAAATTACCACATCAGCATCTGTCTTCTACTTTAATAGGGTAAAAAGGATTTGTTTAATATTCCATCAAGAAATGGATCTTTTCCACCTACAAAAAGCAATCCTTACGAAATTGTTAGCCTCTCATCCTTCCATACCTTTCATCAATTACAATTAAACCTTTAACCTTCTTAATTTCACCAACCATAAAAAAAGGAGGAAAATTTCACCACCTTCCCTTAATCCATTTCAACAACCTTAACAACCCTATACTCTCCAACTCTTCCTTTCCTTTTTCTTTCCCTTTTGGTACTTCTTCCTTCCCCTAAAATATTTTTCAAAAATTCCAAATAATAATAAACTAAATTAAAACAAAATAAAAAAAAACGCGTCATATAGAAGAAATACTACTGAAATAAGCTTCCCTCATCTTTCTCCTTCACCCACACCGCCCACCGCTTTCACAACCAGCCATCTCTGCCTTCTTCACCTGAACAATTTTCATCCTTTTTCTCCATTTTCGTTCGGATTTGCCCTTTTCTGCAGAGACTATTACTATTAAGGGAAGGAAAAGGAGGATATAATAACCCATATTTGGGAAAGGGAAGATTGGCTGTGTTGGATGGTTCATCAATTGTTGTAGATTTGATTTGGTTTTGATTTGTTCTTAGTTTTGAGTTTGAGGGGAAAAGAAAAAACAACCTCGGATTTCCAGAACCCATGTGGCTAAAGCGAACGCAATCTAATATTCGGGTTCATAATCGGAATTTCTCTTGCTCATCTTTTAAGGACATCCAAGCTCTCTGCGCCGACGATTTTAATTCCGACGCCGCCGCCGCCACCGCCACCACCGCCGCCGACCCTCAAAGTTCTCCGAGAACCAGAAGGTCCATATTTCACCGGGTCCGGCTTGCTAATTCTGTCCTTCGCGCCCTTTCTTCGTCGCCGTCCCTCGAATCCTTGACCGAAGCCAATGGATTCGCCGGTAAACCCCCGTTGGTGGATGCGCCGTCTAAGAAATTGCCCGACGAACTTCAGCCGGAGCCGTTGATTTCATTCCCCGGTGCCGAGAAGCGAGTCGTCGTGTACTTCACGAGCCTCCGGGTGGTGCGGTCCACGTTCGAGGATTGTAACGCCGTCCGATCCATCCTACGTGGCTTGCGGGTATTGGTCGACGAACGAGATGTGTCAATGGATTCTAGGTTCACAGGGGAACTGCAGAAGATTCTGGGCAAGCATGAGAAGTCGAAACTGACCCTTCCCAGAGTTTTCATCGGCGGGAGGTACATTGGTGGCGCCGAGGAGATCCGGCGGCTCAACGAAATCGGCGAGCTCAAGAAGTATGTGGAGGGCCTCGCCGCTGCACCGCCCGGCACGTGCGAGGTTTGCGGTGGGTATAGATTTATCCTGTGTGACAATTGTAGCGGAAGCCACAAATATTATAGTGAAAAAGGTGGGTTCAAGAGTTGTACAACCTGCAATGAGAATGGTTTGATCAGGTGCCCTTCTTGTTCTTGTGCGCCTTTTTGAGCCATCCGATTAGATTGTGTTGATTGTGTTGTGGTTGATATTTAGTAGTATAATTAGATAGGGAAAGAAAGGTGGTGGCTTTTTACACTTTGTTCTTTCCCCTTTCAATGGTGGTTTGTTGGGATTAGCTTTGTAATTTGGTTTTAATTTAGGTGTCAAATGCAATGAGTGAATTGCTGATGTAGTAACTAATGTGACTGTTTTGTTTTCTAAAGCTAATCTTTTATAGAGTAATCCACAAAGATGTTGGGAATTCAGCAATCAGAGATCGTGACGTAGATAAAAGTGTGCCCTTTTTTGGGTTGGGATTTTGGTATTTTTCCACTTAAAATTTTGGTTCATGGACCCAATGCAGTGCATCTTCAAATTTTGTTAATTAAATGGCACTTTGTTCTAGTTAGTTTTTTCTCCTTTTCTTTTCTTTTCTTTTAGTTCTTACTTTTGGGTTGTGTATTCTTCTGGTTTCAAATGTGATTGTCAATTCATATTTAGCTGAAGATTTTGCCAGAAGTTCAGACAATAGTAGGCTTCGATGTTTTGTTATGGGAAGATGCTTAATCGATTTCTCCTAGACCTGCTGTCAAATTTTAGGAGACTTGCTTGTCTTAGCCCCTGAATTTTCCTTATCTCTATGTGGTGATCTAGTTTCAGTCATTAGCAAGCGGAAAACACCCTCGTGTCTCTAGGTTCTTGATCCAGAAATGATGCACTAATTGAAGATTCCCTATACCCTATAACCTACGCATTATTTTTTCACTCTGGTATTGTCTTTCAAATATGGCCTTGTGGATTCTGATATAGGTTTACACAGATGGTGCCGTTTTTTGTGTCATTTGTTAATTTGTAATTTTGTGTTGTGAGTGATGACCGGCTTATATTCAAGATCGCTTGTGTTTTTCTCAAGTGGTGTCTGTTTGATGTATTTTGATTGTTCTATGTTTCTCTGTTGATTAATCAAACTAAAGGAGGTTGAAAATGAGAGCAATGGGGGGAGTAGGTGATTTTGGCTGGGGAACCTGATTTCCCTTTTGTCATCTGGTGTTTGGAATAGAAAATTGAGGTTTAGATAGGTGGGCAGATCACCTTTTATCTTCACAATCATTTGGACTTTGGTCATGTTATCGGAAACTAGGAAGGGGAAACGTCTGGGAAAAATTAACGCTGGGTGTTGTACAAATCATAGTTTGGTTGAGGTGTTTCGTAGTTGATTCTTGTTTGTTGCTGTTCTGAGTTTGATTTTGAAGAAAGTCTGGATATCAAGTTATACGGCCTTAGTTTGGGGGAAATGATTTTTACTGTTTGAGCAAGGTCATGAAACAATTTCAAAGTTCATTCAGGCCAAATTCTTGGTGCCTTGTTAGATGCTTCATACTAGTAGCTTTTTCTGCCTACATTCAATAGCTGTTTTGGTTCCATGATCTGCAAATATTATTGCTGGCCAGAGATGTAGATATCTGCATATGCCTCAAGTACTGCATGGTTGGAGTAGTTGAGAGAAAAGAAAAAATGGATCAATAATTCCAGTTATGTAGTTGTAATTGAAAACATCTCTGTTAATGTCAACTGGCTTTGCCTCCGTGGTGGGATCAGATGAATAATTGAGTACTTTTAGGTAGGACACTATTTACTTTGTAGGCTTTGGGTGTTTGTGCTTTGTTCTTGTGTCCCTCTTTGAAGTAATCATGTCCCATTAGTGATAGCATGATGATAATTGATAAGTATGGTATTCGTGTTTGTGCTGTTAAAAGTGTTTAACTTATTGGGTCTTCCGTCTTTGTAGTACTAAGAAATCAGGGATCAGTGATCATGCAAGACATTTATTTGTTGAATCTGGGTTATACTGAATGAAATTGTTTCCAAAAAGAAACTTACAAGAATGGTGTGAACTAATCTTATTTGTTTCGGGTTCAAGTTGGAAGTTAGTGAGATCCATTAATTAATTAATGGAGTTATTAGTGGTAGAAAATAGAAATGCAGCATTAGCAGCTCCTCGGTTAGGCGGGAAAGCTCTTCCCGCTATCTTTGGACATATGGGCCGGGAAGTACCTTCATGTCCATCTGATCCTGGCGATGAATTATGGGCCGGGGTGTAGTCATGAATTTTGGAATCTCTTCCTACTACAACCATTTTTCACGACAGCAGTCAGTCACAAAGTAATCCAATATGCTGATGACTGTTTGGGGGTAAGCAGTGGCAAAGTTGATCTTCCAAAGTTGCAAAGTCAGATTTCATGCCATTGTCAAATCTTATTTTGTATAAATAAATCTCACACCACCAAACCCAGGAGGAAACGTCTCCAAATTAAATAGACCCGCTAAAGATAATATGCATCTGTCGTGGATGATCGTGAAAACGAAAATCTAGCTCACTCATTGGCCCATCCAATCGTTTGATTACCATTAATCAATTTCAGAACTAGAATTAGTCACTCTAAAATCTCTAATTAGTAGACTTTGAATATGATCACATAGAGAATGGGTCAGAAAAACCAAAATGTTTATTTTCTTATCCCATTTTTTTAGTGAGTTTGAGGGTCGTTTTCAATGATTATCGACAAGGTAAGCGGTCTTGAAGCCTACCAATAACATCTGCAAAGGAGACAAACACATCAAAACACCGATAGTGAATTAGAGGATTCATGTTACTTAGAGGTTTCAATTACTACTAACACGATATGAATGCAAAACTGAACTTGACTAGTGTTAGGAGGGTTGCAATTCGCAAAGCTGAAATACTACTACATGGGACACTGATCTATTCGGTCACGATGTTACAATCTGTTTTTCCTAAGATATAAGAAAGTTCATTTTGTGAAACTAATTAACTTATTTTATTTTTAAAAAATGAGAAGTTTCTTTTTTTATTGTTGCCCAAAATCTATTACTTCCTCCGTCCTCAAAATAATTGTCCAGTTTGAATTTTCGTTTCTAATACAAATTGAACTAAAAGTGAAAATCAAAACTGAACAATAATTTTAGGACAGACAGAGCAGAGTATTTGGTTAATCAGATCCGAGATGAATATACTTTTTCTTTTCCCCTTGTCCCGTCTTTCTTTATTTTGGTGTTGTGGTGGTCAGTCGATTGTGCTTGGCCCATGAATCGTCCAACCTTTGCTTCAGTTGTAGTATGATGTGCCATTATTTTCAAGTCTCTTCTAAGGAAGGAAAACTATGATATTTTTTTTTGCCTTTGTTTATTATTATTAGCATTATTTTTTTTTGGGTTTGTGTTGGCGTTTACTTTCATAAAACTTTTCACTATTAAGTACTACTGGTTTATTCTACTTGTACTTTACTTTCAGACTATTTTGCTTATAACTGAAGCGTACGCTAGTGGGTTTATCTAAAGTCTTCTTCAATCATCAATCCAGTATTCGTATGATCAGTACATAGACTAATTAAACTAACCTACTTAAATTTCAGATTCGGTCATGATGAAATAAGTAGAGTTTGTGGAGTTTCATTATCTGATCTCATTTCTTTTTGTTTTCCCCTTCTCAATCAAATGCATGTCATTATCTTACCTTTGTAAAAGTCATTTTTTATAGTATTGACTGACCTCGAAAATCAACTTGACCTAGTTAAATTGATCATACTGTCTTTTGGTTAATCTCCTTTCTAGGCGAAAAAATTAAAGCTTATGGAGATAATTGCTTGTGTGATTTTATTTTATTATTTTTTTTCAAAATTTTGATGGAACATTAATGGGAGACTGGTTTACGTAGAATTTTATTTTGGAACAGGTTCGGATGGCACATCAATTCATGTAAATTACGATTAAAATAATTATTCCCATGGTTGTTGAATTTTAAAGAGAAGTGAAACTGTAATACTTAATCTAACAGACTACATATATATATATATATATATATATATGTAGAAAAGAAATTTTCAGGTTAAGGTAGTTGTTCTTTTGGAGTGTTAGGTAAATGTAGAAACCTTATGTGTTTGTCAACTTATTTCTTTTTTAGCTCAATACTATGTGATACGATTGGCAATGAGTTTGGATAAGAAAACGTGGTCAATACGGCATACTTTTAATCTCATTTGAGAGAGATGAGACGGCATGCAAAACCCAACCTGTAATTCTTTTTTTGGGCTTATAACTTCACTCTCGTTCTTATATGTCTAATTAGTTAAAATAGATGAGTAAATCAGACGGTGGACTTTGTAAAATCTCATCAGCAGGCCATGATAATATTCTGTGAAAATCATGCAAAGCTTTGGACTTCTTCAGAGTCAATGAACACAAGTAGCTCAAATTTATAATGCAAGCTTTCGACTTCTTCAGGGTGGCTATGCATATACAGAACTTAATGTATGATGATATGATTATTTATTCATTAATCAATCATAGAAATCATGGTTTAGCAAAATCACTTGATTTTGCTTTAGTTTAGGTTGTTCATTTGCAGACCATGTGCCATTTCGTCGGCAGGAGTAACGCAGCTAAGTCGCGAGACTCTAGTCTAGCTAGAAATTTCTCTATTACTCTCTCTGTTCCAAAATTCTTGTTCAGTTTGGAATTTTATTTTTAGTACAATTTGACCTAAAAATAAGAACTCAAACTGGAGAATAATTATGGGACGGAGGGAGTATTAATGTTAGAAAGACGGTTTGTTTGTTTGTTTTTTTTTTTTTTTCTATTTTTGCTCCAATAGATATAGTAATTTCAGAAACCAGTCAAACAAAATTAAAACACGTTCTAGTTTTGTCGAGTTGTTGTAGTTTCAGAAGGTTCACCGTATAATCACCGCGCCGTACAAAGGCCTTTTTTACGCTTTTCTGGAGGGAAAGAAAACGATAAATCACGTGACCATAACAATTAACATGTGGAGTTCGTATATAATAAGATTCTGAGCTGTACAAACTACATAAGTATAGAAAAACCGGCGCCAATATATATTAAGAGGACCGAGTCAGATTTTAGTTCCGCCATTACCAAAAAAAAAAAAAACCCAGAGGCATCAAAATTCAACTATCAAATTCAACTCAATCCCAGAAAATTCACTGATAATTTCCTCGTCTTTTCTCTCTTTGCTTTTTTTTTTTTCATCATTTCACTGTTTGCTGCAAAAACCTCTGCGACTTGATTCATGATCTTGATGGTTAATATTGTTTTTTTAAAGGAAAAAGCACCGGCTTTAACGCGTTTGCTTGTTTCCTTCTTGGTCTGGTCTTAATTTTAGTGGTTTTACGACTTAAAAAGCCTGTGTCTTTTTTCTTTCTTTTTTTTTTTTTTTTTTGATAGCCACCGTTGATGACTAAACCAGTTCTTTTCCTTCTTTTACTCTATAAATAATCAACACATGATTACAGATATGGGTTTTTTCCGAATCGTTTAATTCTTCAAAGGGTTGATCTTTTTTCTTCTGTTTGCAATGGGTGGAAATTGGAAATGGAGCAAGTTCAAGCCTTTCTCTGCTATCTTCATTTTGCTGTTTCTCGTGTTTTTTCACTGCAATTTTGGTTACTGTTTCTCGCTCAACCACGAAGGTTAGTTTTTCCGGCTTCAGCTCGTTGATTTTTCCTTCCTTTCTTGAGCCGGTGATGAGGAGAATGAATTGGAATTTGAGTTGGATGCGATTATGACAGGGTTGGCTTTGTTGAGGTTTAAACAGAGATTGATAAATGATCCGTATAATGCTTTGGCTAGCTGGGAATTAGGCTTGGAAGGAAATTTATGTCCATGTTCTTGGTCTGGCGTTCGGTGTTCCTCTGATGGTGAAGTCATTGCCTTGTGAGCAATTTTCCCACTTTTTCTCCTCCTTTTCTCAAATTCTTTTGTATTACTGTTTCATTCAGACATAATATCAAAAACATTCCGTGCCTGAGCGATGACGGTTTTTTTTTTTTTTTCTTCCCCTGGATTAAGTGTGATTGGATTTAAGCTTCTTTTAACCAAAATCAGCAGCCAGAAGTTGCAATTTTGTGTTTTTGGATTGATAGATTTATTTGCTTTTTACACCCAGAGTCTTCTTCCAGTTGCCATGGACTTTGGAAAGGCACCATTTAAGCTCTTACTGTTAGATTTATGACTGACAATGTATGCATTTAAGAGGGAATCCAGCTGTGGGCTAATTCTTTTATTGAAAAATTTCAGGGGAAAAAAAAAGACCATGATTCTGCTTTGATCTGTTCATGAACTGTAGCTTATAGTTTAACTTCTTCTCAACAGGGAACTCATGGATCTCTGCCTTGAAGGAACGTTGGCACCTGAATTAGGTCAGCTGACACATCTAAAAGCATTGTAAGCATGCACACAACTCTGAGTCGCAAGATGTCAGTTTTCTTGTTTATCTTGGCAGCTGAATTAGTTTTCTTATATTTGTTGCCATGTGCAGAGTTTTGCGAAACAATTCTTTTTCTGGGATTGTTCCGAAACAAATTGGAGAACTGAAAGAGCTCGAAGTATTGGACCTTGGATACAACAATTTTAGTGGACCATTTCCACTGGAGATTGGCAAAAACCAATCTGTTTCAATTCTGTTAGTTCTCTGTCAGATCAAGCAATATATACTTATTGAAGCCCCAACATTCAAGCTAACTTAATTTGTGGTATTTATTGCAGTTTGATCAATAATAATAGGTACATAGGCAACATAACTCCTGATACCTATGATGGTAAGACGTTTTCTGGACCTCAAGTTACTGAAAGCTCGACTGATGTAGCTTGTGGCAACAGACTATCTAAATCTTCGTAAGTAATGCCATGCAGGATTGCTCTTCTTCCATTTTGCATTTTACATCTTTGTCTATCTGTTAACGAATGCATTTTGGTGTAATATTGGATGAGATGGAGTTGGCTGGAAATGAGCCTACAGCTAGTACTACTTCAAACCTGAATGTTTAGTGTTGCTAAAATGTTTTGAAGTACATAAATGTGAGAAGTCATAACATAGGTTTTGGTTCCTGTACAAATTGAACTAATTTTTGAAGGGATGGCCAATTGCGTAGGTCTTTCTTTTTCATTTTCAATATAAGAAGTCATAACATAGTTGGAGTATGTAATGTTTACAGTCTTCTCACAATTTCTCCTTCTTTTATTTTTAGCAGGAAAGCATTGCAACAAGGTGATACACCACTGAGAAGGTTTCTTAAGGGGTCTGATTCAAAGAATTCAACTGAAAAAAAGAATAAGAAAAACGGTAAAAAGTCATCACCATCCTCTTCAGAAACTCCAGCTCCATCACCATCCTCCCCACTTTCTTCTCCTTCAGAACCTCCATCATCCATATCATCTCCTCCATTCACATCATTCGACAATCCATCTCCATCACCATCACCATCGCCATCAGACTCATCAGACTCTTCCAGTATGTCCCGATCTCCACTCCCTTCACCAATACCAGCCCCATCTGCTGTTATACCAGAGAAGTCCCATCCTTCTACAACTGCACCAGCTCCAGCTCCAGCTCCAATACCGAGAAATGCAAAAAAGACAAACAAACATCTTGTATTTGTACTAGCTGGCGTACTTGGCGGTTCAGCGTTATTGTTTGTTTCAGTTCTCAGCTTTTTATATTGTAGAAATAATAAGGTCGTTACTGTTAGACCTTGGGCTACAGGGTTAAGTGGGCAGCTGCAGAAGGCATTTGTGACAGGTAAACTTCCTTAGCCTCCTTAATTAGTCTTGTTCTCGTACAATGCAGGATAATTGGAAAAACCAGCAGGGCTGTTTTGCTCCTTTTGGATAATGAAATATTGTTATCTGTAATATGATAATCAACCAAACAATGATGGAACATTTTCATTTAAGTACAATTTTTGGTTGACAATATGGCTCATTTATGTGATTGTGGGGGTCTAGACAGCAGGCTGATCATTCATTTGAATGATTTGCATCCAGGTGTGCCAAAGCTCCAGCGCTCAGAACTTGAAGTAGCTTGCGAAGATTTCAGCAATATAATTGGGGCTCTCTCAGATGGCACTGTTTACAAAGGGACCCTTTCAAGTGGTGTTGAAATTGCAGTGACATCTACTGCAGTAAAGTCCGCTAAAGACTGGTCGAAAAACTTGGAAATCCAGTTCAGACACAAGGCAAGATAAAATTATTTTCTTGAGTTGTATCAAGTGGCCAATCAGACTGCCATTAATTATCTTCATTTCTTCTGTTCTTCCAGATAGACACATTGACAAGGATCAATCACAAGAACTTTGTGAACCTCATCGGCTATTGTGAAGACGAGATGCCTTTTACCCGAATGATGGTTTTTGAGTATGCTCCAAACGGAACGCTGTTTGAACACTTGCATAGTAAGTTATATACCCGGGAAGCTGAATAATCTCATTATAAATGGCAAAACTTTAGTGATTCAGTCCACATTCTTTTGCTGATCCTCTGCAGTTAAAGAATCTGAGCCCCTGGACTGGAGCGCAAGGTTGCGGATAGCAATGGGTATAGCATACTGCCTTGAGTACATGCACCAGCTCAACCCACCTATTGCCCACTGGAACCTGCAATCATCGTCAATATATCTTACAGAAGACTACGCGGCAAAGATGTCCGATTTCTGCATCTGGAATGAAGTAATCGCAGCAAAGATGGGATCAGAAACTATGAAGCTCTTGGAAACTCCATCAGCTGATGATCCGGCTAGCAACGTCTTCAACTTCGGGGTAATCATGCTCGAAATGCTCACAGGTAGGCTTCCAATGTCAGCTGATGATGGTTCTCTAGCGGACTGGGCACGGGATTACTCCAGGAAAGGGAGGCCCTTTAGAGATATAGTGGATCCAACGTTCCATTCTTTCCGGAATGAAGAGGTTGAGAAACTATTCAAACTCGTACAAGATTGTCTACATCCTGATTCAGAAGAGCGCCCAAGTATGAAAGAAGTAGTAGCCAGATTGAAAGAAATAACTACTATTGAACCTGATGGAGCTACACCCAAAACATCACCTCTTTGGTGGGCTGAAGTAGAAATCATGTCAACAGCATAAATTATAAGAGGTTTCAAGGCTCCCAGTCCGACAAGTCTTCTAATGCCTTATTGCTGTATTCTTTTTTAGCTCCCAATTTGTCGGTCAACCAAATGATGCTTCATTCTTCTTTTGATTTTTAATTCTTTTACGTTTGGGTTATATTTCGGTGAAGATATGATATGTACATTTGCCTTGAATGTGTATATAATGAAAAGAAATTTCACAAGTTTAAATCATATGTAGTCGTTTTTCTCTCTTCGCTCCCTCCACTCTAAATGATTCTTGTATCATTTTAGGATAGAAAGAGTACCTAGATACTCATTAAACACACCCCCCACCCACCCCCCAAAAAAAACAATCTCCCCGTCCCTCAACCAAACCACAATAACAACCTCACGTATTGACGCAAGTACTCCACCATAGAGGAGCAACATAACATCATTAAATTGGTCACTTACTGCATCAGCAAATAGAATTCAATATTATCTATATTTTCGTAAATTGAGACAAAGATGGATTCAGATGGAGTATGGACAAATGGTCAACCGTAACGGCCACTGACAGAAAATCACTTTCTTCCTAACCTTTTTTTTTTTTTTCCTGAAAATTGATATGACAATTCTCATTTTGTGCATGACACCAAAGAAGATCACTTTCATTTCAAAAATCAGAAAGTTTTTTAAGTTTGTAGCATATTCGACAGGTGAGCAATAAAAGAGGTAACACATGAATTACCCTGAAATTTCTCTATGGTGTAATGTTTGGCTGTTCACTGTGGGGACGTTTATCTTTCTGGATTGATCATAACTCCTGTTTCACTCTCGCTTTCACCAGGAACTGTTGATGTATGTACAACTCCTAAGTCCTCTTCTATCAACATTCTCCATGTGCCACGGCCAGTGACATCTCAAATTCTCAGGAGACTAAATTCGGAGTGGCGAAGTGGACAGCCCAAGCAGAAAAAAATCCTTCTTTTCCACAAAGCTGAAAGAGGCTGCCAAAACTTGCAATTTGTACATGAGTGACTGGACTCATTAAGCACGTGGATCAACACCTTGGGTTTTTGTTTTGTTGTACAATTCAAGGGTGTCCTTGTGATTTTGATCCAAACAGAGGGCTGCCTGACAATCACGGAGGGCAGAATTTAAGTCACCCATGGACTCATGGAAAGCAGCACGAAGATTTAGCATCTGCAGGTCTGGCTTGAAGGCTATGGCTTTTGTTAGCTCTTCCACAGCTTCATTCTCTCTTTGATCATCCATAAGAACTGATACACATGATACAGCTCTGTTAGTATGCATAAAAACAAATAATGATAATAAATTAATAATTATGAAAACAAGAATAACTTTGAGCAAACAGCCCCTCCAAGTTTTTACCAAATTGACATGTTCCCATAGTGAAAACGTAAAACAACTAAGCTAAAGTCCATAGTGCAAGTAAGCAGCTGATGCTGCAAACTCCCAAAGTATGCCTAATTCTAATAGAACTTAAAATGATTGAAGGAACAATAGCGAGAAAGACTGCATGGTTCTTATATGCAATTCTAAAAGTTAATACAAATTAAGGTTCACCAAGAGAACAACTCAGACCAGAGAACAAGTCTTGGTAACCACTTTTGAGAAAGTTTGGCACTGTTTCAGGCACACATTTGAGCAAAGCTAGCAAATTAGAAGTAAACCAAATAAAAAACATCCTTTGCCATTTTAAAAACTCTAAAGCTCTCCCGAATAATGCAAGAGGGAGAAAATTGGTATTCTTAAATCCATTACATTACACGGGCAGTGACTGGTTGCAGAGGAACAACATTAACTTATTCATCAAGAATTCTATTCCCCATGGCATTTCAAACCGTGTCACTTAATTGACACAACCAGTCATTAATCTGAGTGAAGAGCATGCAAATTTGGATATAAGAACAGGAAAGACCAAGTTGGTAGAATATTGAAAAAGGTACCTGCTGCTCTGTATCTGTAAGGATAAGTTCTGAGAGGATCTAATTGTGATGCCATACTGAGATCATTATTCGCCATGTCCCGGTCACAATATTCTGATCGTTTTTCGTATGCCGATGCCTTGTTTTGTGCCTTGTCGATCAGCTTTGTCATTTCATCATAAGCAGCCTTTTTATCATTCTTAAGATGATAAACCCTTGCCAGCCCTTGGTGAGCCCTTGTATGCTTAATTTTAAGGGCGCTTACATAACAGTCTGCTGCAAGGTCCAACTTGCCACAATCGACATAGATACTTCCAAGGTTATTCAATGCCTGCAGAGTAAAAAAAAAAAATTAATATTATACATGTCCAAAGATGCATGACAACAAAAATTATGGATGTCAGAGATAAAATTACCTGTCCTTTCCGGAGACCATCAGAGGGACATCGAAGTGCCTCTTCTAAGAGTTGCACAACATAGGCTGCGGCTTCAGGTTCCAGATTGGCATCTGCCAATGCATAGGCTTTGAGGAAAAATGCTTCAAATGACCTCTGAATAGAAATAGATTCTTCGGCTTTAGACAGCGCTTCATCGCGGTGACCGGTATCATACAGAATCCATCCTTCATAAACTAGCCTTTCGTGCTTAGTGACAGAATGATTTCGAGCCAACCTCAGACTCCGCATGGCAGCTTTTTGGCAATTAAGCCTACACAAGAAAGACATGTTAAGTGTCTGTACAACAGTGTGTTGATTTATGCTCAATCAAGCTGACTAGAAATTTTTATTTAACAGCTTCTAGAATCGAATTCAATGAAATACTTTTTCTTAATATCTATCCAAGTAAAAAAGAAGTTGGCCAACCCTTATTTAACGATTGTATTACAGGTGCATTGACCTACATAAAATTTCACTTCATCTTTACACCAGACATTAAATTCACATCTCATCCAGGGACAAGGTAACATAAGTTTTCAGCAACAGGCTGATCCCACCGGTTTTTTGGTTTCATTTTGAATTCACATTATAGCACAACCTCGTATATAATTTGTTACCAAACAAACTAGAAAGTTCAATTTGCTGAAGGGTAAACATCATCTCATTTTAAAAAATTAGCAAGAAAGAGAGAGACTCTAAGTGATTAAATTTTTTTTAAAAAGCCTGACACAACAGCATAATGTGTAGCATCTATAGCAGTAGTTATTGAGCACCAGAGAAAAGGTGTAAAAGAACCACGGGATAATGCTGACATGAAACATCACTGCACAGTATGCAGGTAGACTGATGCTCACAACCACGGTATACACCACACCATCTCATGAAAGATAGTGATATCAATCAAAAGGCTTTAAGCATAAAGAACCGACAAAATATCCCCGGATGAATACACCAAAATCTATTTAGTTAAAGCTAAAATTAATGCATCCTAATATAGATTACCTTAAAAGAAGTAGAGATTGCCGAAACCGAAGAACACTCTTCCCAGGGTCATTTATCAGCATTTGATGTATCACAGCCAATGAGCCAATGTCGTCGACAGAAGACCATCTATCATATAGATGCATCCAGCAATCAGCTGGACTCCACCGTTGGACATGTTGATTGAGGAGCTCAACCAAATCGTCACCCCTCATTTTTCCATCAAACATCAAATAATTTGGCTCTAAAGTAAGCAATGCTCGAATGTCTCGCATAGCTGCTTCATAATCTTCAAGGGCAATAAGGAACCAAGCACGCAGTTCAAGGCAGTCCGGAGAAACTTTAAACCCTGCAACTCTGTTTATTTCCAAAATGGCAGCCTCAATGTCATCTTCTTCTAACTTTGCAACTGCTCGATACTTGTATGGGAATGAAAGGGTAGGATCCAGTTTAGTAGCATCGTCCAAATCTGAAATCTTTTTATTATTACCCAAATTGTACAAAGACCTCTCTTGGTACATCCATCCTGCAGGTTTATGTGTTGTGATTAGGGAATTAATAAGCTCATATGCCATAAACCTCTGCCCTTGCTTGAATTTCGAGCGTGCAACACCTGCCATCGAATACACATTCCCCGCTTCAGCTGCTGCCTCGAAGCAGCATTGAGCTTCCTTATACTCTTTCCTGGCAAGCAACACACAACCTAATCGGTGCAATGCAAGGGACTTTTGCCACCTCTCAGTCGCACATTCCCTCAAACGTTCAAGTAACATCACACTAACCTTTGATGTCATATTATCTTCGACAGCAACCTCACTAAGAAAATAATACAATAGGAAAGAAGCATGCCCAACCAAAGCCAACCTTTCCTTACCCTCAGAACTGCAGAATACATTCATAACTTTTGAATTGTATAAACAACCTGGAAGCTCTCTCAATAGAACCTGCAAGCAAGATGCCACAAGAGTATATGCTCTCTCCTCCAAAGCATAATCAACGATAACCAGAGCCTCGTCTATATCAGAAACCAGCGATGCTAAATAATTGTCACAAGTAGATTTCAGGTCCTCGCAACAAAATCTATTCGCGAAAGAAAGCAACTCCAAAACTACATCTGGGGAAGATGAGCCTAATCTCCCATACAGACTATAGAATTTAACAGCTCGCAATCCATCCGCAGATATCCCAACATGTGAAAAATCTATTCTCTCCCTTCCTGATTCCACAAAACTACCAAAAAGCATAGCTCTTAAAGGGCTAGAAAGAGCAGCAATTTTACCTCGGGGGCAGTAAACCTCCTCATGCCCAATACAAAAGCAAACATCCGCATCTTCATTCTCGCAGTCGAAATCCTCCTCATCGGGTGAGATGTCAGAAGACTCATTACTCGTCCGAGAGCACTGGCAATGATCAAAAACTGAACTGGGGAAATACCCATAAGCCAAGGTCGCCTTCGGGCATTCGAGAACTCTCCCGATGCAATCCAGAGCTGAAGTACCAACCAATTCATCCTCCCTCCTCTCATACCTCAACCAAGCTGATAAAACCACCTTAGAGTGAACATCAACGGCGTGTTGGCGGGCAGATTGAAGACATCTCCGGAGCAATTTCGGATCTCCAAGACTACACAACAAACAATAGTGTTCAAGATAAACCAGGGATTTATCAGCATCTGAACACTTCTCGATTTTCTGATAAAGACCCGCCAAGGATTCAATAAAGTCGGTAGATTTCAGAAAAGGGTCAATGGAGGGCTCAAGGGAATCAGTGGAGGGCAACCCAAAAGGGAGAAGCGCATCAGCCGTGGTCAAGGAGAAGGAATCGGCAGAGTTGGACAGAACAGAGCTGATTGTGGGGTAGCCCAGATTATTGTGGTGGGGCTGCTTGGAGGACGCCGCCGTGGTGGTGGTGGTGGTGGCGCCGGCGGTGGTGGAAGTGGCGGTGCTACTAGTGGAGGGTTCAGATGGATTAAAGGCGTGAACTTGGGTGATCTTACAACGGTCTTTAAGCTTGAGGCCACGCATAGTATTGGAAACTTGTTGAGAATATTGGCGGATGAGATTTACAAATCTAGATTTGTTTGGCTCAACCTCTGATTGACCATCTTCAATCTCTGTTGAAGTAGACATGACATGAATCCAACTAACTAAAACTTCCCTAATTTCAGGGCATACACCAAAAAAGAAGAATTAAAAATCAAATTAAGATTTATTAAATTTTTTAAAAAAGGGCTTACTTTAATCACAAAATCATCAATTTACAGACGGCCTGCAGTCACCACCATGAAAGGGAAAGAAGAATATTGAGGAAGAAGAAGATGGTGGTGATTGCAGGCTTGAGAAAAAGGGTTTTTCAACAGTAGTAGAGTGATGATCTTCCCATTTTTTTTTTCATGAAAAGAATGGAAAAAGGGTGAAAGGCAGCAGACTTGTGGAGAGTGGATGATGGATCTCTTCCCCCAACAACATGTTTTCATTCTTTTCTTCTTCTTCTTCTTCTTTTTTTTTTTCCTTCTTTTTTGGTATTAATATTTTTGATCTTTGCTTTTTAATGTCAAACACTCTCAACTCTCAATAATGCCAAAACCTTCTCTGTGTGTTGAATTTGTATGAATTATTATTAATTAATAGTATAATAATTTACAAATGGCGTCTTCCTTTACATTAACTTTTTAAGGAGACTGCCATAATAGACGCTTGAGATTCCTTTTAATGCTAGCATTTAACCTTTTTTTTTTTGCCAGAAATATTTAGCCCCATATCAAGCAACAAACCCATGAATGCACCATTTGAGTAAACTTGATAGCAGTTCAAAACTTTTAAAAAAATAAATAAGTAAATTAGGAAGAAGAAGAAAACCTGACAAAGTGGAAGGTAACTAACAGTGGTTGAGCAGTTGAAATTCAACCAATTATCAATGGTTTTAAAGTTTAAACAAACAAATGAATAATGGGGTTGAATTATTTAGATTTACAGGCTCCACGCTAATATTTGATTTTGATTGTCACTTGTCTTAACACTATTGGAAGGTAATTTAGTAGGACCAAACAAAGAAAATTATATGGCAGCATGGTTATAATTATACCATTGATAACAAAAGTGACACTTGAATATTACACAAATTTTTTTAACACTTGAGAATTTGAATCTTGTTAATTAACTAATGCATTATCTCTTTCCCTAGCACAATTATGAATTATATGAATATATGCATTGTAGAATGGGTCCTCATACCACTTAACTCCTACAAGATTTTACACATAATTATTTTAAATCATAGAATTAGGACAAAATTGAAATGTTAACATTCTTAAACTATTTGCAAAATGAGAACTTTCTAGGTTTTGTTAGTCTGACTAAAAAAATTGTGCAAAAAGAATAAGTAGATGGAATAGTACTACAAATTTAAGACCCAACGTAATAAAATATCATGGATTATGGAGTAAAGTTGCATCTTGGTTAAGCAACTATATCATGTGAGAAGGGAGAAAAAAGGAGTCAATTTATGAGCTATTCACCATCATATCATAGATCTTAATTAATTCCCAATTACATTATTGATCACAAGGGTGTTTGACAATGACTAAAATCAATGCGAAGAACATAGCTTCCCACGTCAACAAATCCATAGCCATAAGATAGTTTTGGCCTAAAAATAATTACAATTTTTTCTTTCTTTTTTTTTTTGAGATAAACAAGACTTTCATTAACCATTACTAGAAACAATTAGCATCCATTAAGAAACAAAGTTCCGAGCTTCACTCCATAAGGTTTCAATTACATAAGTCGGTTTGACAAACCTAGCAAAAGAATGAACAATGTCATTGAGTAAGTATTAAATAGATATGCCTCACATAAGAATATAGTAAAATAAACATAGAATACACGGTGTATTTATTTTTGTTTGAAGATTACATAATCGCTGAAAATTCTAGGTCCTTGTAACACTAACACAAGCTCTGCATACTTTGGTTTGTATTTGGCTATGACGGATTTCGAAAAGGATCTACATTAAAACTACTCTAGCGTCAAAAAATTAAAAAATAAAAAAAATTCCGTAGCAAGTATAAATAATTACTCACTTTGCTTAGAAGAGAGCAAATTTACCTTATGCTAAAATTGGAGTTAAACTAAGTTACTCAGTAGAGTTGTTGACCGGAAACGGGGCAGAAATTATCATAATTAGCTCTGTTCCACTTTAGTCTACACACAATAACTAGTAAGCATGTTCTATGCAATTTTAAAGTTAATTAACTACGTAAAGTAGGGTGGCTATGAATATATTCAACTTTATGCATAATGTGATCTAGAATTTAAATATGGACATCTACTAAACCAGCTTCTTTTCTTTTCTTTTTAAGGGAGTACTATTTGATTAGTTCCACAAAAAAATAAATAAATAAAAAATCAGACTTTTGTTTGTTGAATTGGCAAATGTGATTGTTTTCTCGGTGGCAGGGAATAAATAGTAAGTATGGAAAAGGAGAAGTAAATAAATAAATTGTGTTTCTTTGAATGAAGAAGATAGTAGAGTAAAAAAAAAAAAGTAAAAAAAAAAAAGTACTGCACGAAAATATAAACAAGCAGATCGAATATAATGCAATTGAAATTCCTTTTGAGATATCTTAGTGCAAAATAGACCAACTCTTCCGGGCTTTTATCCATCTTTATGTATCATCTATTATAAAATAATTATTGTGTTTGTTGTATGTTAAAATAGAATAAAAACTACTCCCTCCGTCCCATAATTATTGTCCAGTTTTACTAAAATGAAAGATTTTATTTTTGGTCAAACTTAACTATATTTTACCTTAAACAACCAAATATACCCTTACATAAGTAATTGTTTAACCACTAAGATTTTATGAATAATGTTTTTTATAAAGGACAAATGTGTAACTTGATCCATAAAAAGTCAATTGGACAATAATTTTGGGACAAAATTTTTTGGACAAAGTGGACAATAATTATGGGACGGAGGGAGTATGTAATTATTTTAGTACATATGGAGATGAAATAGAGTATAGTTTACACGAATATGTACCCACACGAGTAAGTTTTGGAATTTTTTATACCATGAAAATAATAATTGGAGTCTCTGACTCAACTACAGATGAGCAATGTATGGCTTAAGTTAAACAAATGCAATTGTTAAACAAACTTAAAGGATTCGTGATTATCAAGGTAAAAATAAAAAATAAAAATTTAGGTGTGAGTTAACCAGTCCAAATACGATGAACGGGAGACAGGTTGTTTGCAAATTGAAAATTAATTTTGTCTTCAAGGTATAAAATAAACCTAAATTTTCTTCCTTTGACAAACTGATAAAACTGAAGTTGAATAAATCACCCATACGTACGTAACCCACCCTCAAAAAATACTACAATAAATATAGTCGGTATTGATCTCTTGTCACCCCGTACGCAACCCATAACAGATGTAGCATGCTCATATTTGGCTGTGTTTGTGAAAAAAACAAACAAATACTTCCCCTAGTAAAAATTTATTTGTAGTTTACCAAATTCGATACTCATATTTGTAGCATACTCATATCTTTTTTTTTTATTTGTAGCATACTCATATTTTTACTGCTTGTGCAGCAAAAATGCTGGAACAACTTAGCTATAAAAAAGATTTTAAACTCTGATATGTACGTGCAATGATTTAAAAATAAAAAATAAATTTACTGAGAGAATTTCTGTCTGATGAAAAAAATTAACCTCGAATTAGAAACTAGTGATATGGTAAAATATATTCAACCAAAAAAAAAAAAGAAAAAGTAACGTGGTACGAGTGATATGCGTTTTTAATTAATTCTGTAAGTGGAATGAATATGAAATTTATTAATGTTGGACCTATAAACATAAAATACTACGGGATCACGACCCATGTACTCCTAGCTAGCTATACATGTACACAATACTTGTTTAGTTTTGTTTGGTGTATGATTGAACCTAACCTCTTATCCAATTCAATCATTCTCATCCCGACAAGTATAAAAAACAATATATATATATATATATATATAAATTAAAAAAAAAAAAGAATGTCATGCACAAAATATTTATTGCAGCTGAGTCGCCAACTAAGAAAGGGTATAATGTCACTGAATCACAGACTATTGCGTCCTTCTGTTTTTGTCATATCTGGCAAGGAATCCATTGGTTAGGTTCTGTGTTCTCTCCATATGAGAAGAAGATGAACGTGATTGATGATCGAGCAGCAAATAGAATAATTATAGTAAGTAAAAAAAAAAAAAACCCTAGCCCCCAAGATTCCAGAGTACGGAATTGCATATGGCCTATCCATATAATTCTATAACTACTTCCTTTTCCCTATTAATTCCTCTTCACATAATTGAAGTTGCATGGAAGTTGGAACACAATACATGTGCTTTTGGATCTGCCTATTTATATAGATTGCTATATATCGTCACCATTGACGTATTAACTTCTCGAGTTAATAGCAATCAACTCCTTCTATTCTTTCCATTTTCCGTAATGTGCCAGCCATTAGGATGGATTCTTGTTGCATGTTAAAGCTCAAATACGGCTTCCTATCAGTGGAGGTATTGTGAAGATGGCCTTCGTGGCTTCATACTCATAGATGCCTGGGATCCAGTTCCAAACAAATCTCGATGATTGATCTCGATACCACTTTCTAATGTTAAAATCACCACATACATATATATATATATATATATATATATATATCTATGGAATAAGTCTATTCAGTAACAAGAGTGAAGTGTAGAAGATTACGTAGAGGAATTTTTTTTACCTTGGTGGTCGACTCAAGAGAGTATATATTTTTCAAAACTAGCTAATGACAAGAATGGACAGAATGGTCACTAAACTCTTTAAAATCTCTAAAGCATTCTTAAAGAAGATTGTATGCTTGATATTATTGTCAAATTTAGATTTTTATTTTTAATAGAAATTAAACTAAAAGTAAATTTTATAATGAATAATAATTTTGGGACATAAAGGATGGTATATATACACTCAAGAGTTTAGGGATGGGTGAAATGTGTTAGAGATGAAGAATTGTAATAGGAGATTTCGTTAATAGTAATCCCTCAAAAAAAAAAAAAAAAAAGAAGAAGAAGAAAGGCCATATAGCGGTTCCTCTTGTGCATCGGTCATATTTCTTATTAAACTTACTCATCATTAATTTTTTTTTTAAAAAAAAAATTTTATGCATTCGTCATTATTCGTTGGAAGATGGTTCATGTTATGATTTTTCAAAATTGACAGTTAAAAAGGAAAAAAATAATTTATCATGTTATAATTGTCCAAAAAATCTTAGAACTTGGGGTGTTATATTCGATTGGTCATAATTGACCATATAGTTGGAATTTTCCGATCCCATTTAGCTGCCTAGATCAATCACGATAAGTGTTCTCATTTTCAAATTTGTTACTGCTTTCGACCGAAAAAAGAACACATAAAATGTAAGTATAAAAAAGAGCTACAAAAAATTAAACGCCGCTGGAGTTCGATCTGGACTTCGGCCCCCATTCCTGACTGGTAATATTCCCACCCAGTGCGACATAACAACAATAGATCTTAATGGGTGCGAAAAATGCAGACTCCATCGACGGATTTCAAACCCCCGCTGAGACTTGAGATGGGAGTGAACGCGGTGGCTTTGGCAGAGTCAGATGCCGACTTCGGGTTGGAAAGATTGGGAGATTTTCTGGAAAGAGCAGGAGGTGGTGGTGTGGTTTTAGTTGATCTTTTTTTAATAAAGGATATATTGAGTTGTTTTACCCTTTGAATTAATGGTTTGAATCGTTTGACAGTCGGCTTTTAACAGTCAACTGACGGAGAAGTGGAAAAACACACTTTTACAAGTTATAGGACTTTGGAGATACAATTTTGGTCCCCAAGTTATAGGATTTTTGTGAATTTGGTACTTTAATTTGTTACGATACATCTTTTGAGATTATTGTACGAATTAACTCAAGCTTTTACATTTTTATTTTATTTTTTTATTTTTTTTGTTTCCCATTCAAGTAGAAGAACCTAAAAGCATTTTAGATCTTCGTAATTCAATGGAAGTACATCAGTACATAAATATTATAAGCACGTTCACGAACAGGAGTGAAAGGGTTGATCAGTAAAATGATTACTATAAGTTAAAGGTGAGTTATTACTCGGAACTGAATAATAATAATAATAATAATAATAATAATAATAATAATAATAATAATAATAATAATAATAATAATATTGTTGTAACACTCGGGTCGCGTATATGTACCAGATTGAATGTTTGCGTTGATTCTTCCACGTTCGGCTTCCGCGTGCTATTGGTTTGATTTGGTAAATCAATTGGTTCGCATAATTAGCTGTTTATTACTCGTATTACTTTTTCGGCCCCATACATAAACTTGTCATTATCGATTGCCTCGCTGGTTGGACAAATGTGATTCACCACACCAATTATGATATTCAACACAAATATTAGCAAGCACATGTTAGCCATTCACCAATTCTTCCTCGCCTGTCCCATAATTATAAATTCTATCTCTTGAAAAAAAAGAAAGAAAAGAGGACAGTAATTTTGGAATGAAAATAATATATAATTTGTATATATATACCATTAACATCAACAAATTAATTAATGAGACCTTTTTTTCATGTGTTATTTATTATATTTTGGGTAACAAAATCACGTCTCATTAACAATGCGTCAAATTCACTAATTTTTGGTTTTTGGTTCTAGATTAAGCCGAGAGACATAGCATCGATTATACATGAAATTATATAGTTACACTTCTGTGTCATAATTGGCGTGTATTCAAAAGTTAAGACATGGGATTGCTCTCTTATAATTTTTTACTAGATGTTTGGCCCGGCAGATGTCCGGACGCCCCTTCTAAATTACTATTTTATTAAAATCTAATTGAATTACTATTTTTTGAGAAATTAATTTGGCGTATATATCATTTATACTATGGTTTGGGACTTAAAAAAATATACCTATAAATCTGAGGTTATAAGGGAATAATAAATAATTAGTTTATAATGCATTTTTCTTAATTACTGGATTTAATTTTTTTTATTTTTTGTTTATATTAAGTCTGTAAAACTGTACGATTGGACATTTGAATTTGAATTAATATATCCATTCGTTTGAAATGTAACTGATTCTTACTTGTAGAATTTTTTCATTGGATAAGTGTCACATCTAAAACATGTGTTTTTTTTTTAAAAAAAAGAATTATATAGCTTCTAATTAAAAGAGAATTACACGTGGCAAAAAAACTCCTGAAATCTGAAAATATGGTGCATTGGAGCCAAAACAGATGCATGCGTAACTGCCACATAAGCTTCATGTCTTCTACTTTAATAGGGTAAAAGAGATAAGTTGGATGACGAAAGCTTCGTGAGTTGCTGACTATTCTTGAAATCATATTTGAAGCCAGTACCCTATATTTGGCTATATGGGGGATTAAAATGAAAGTGTTCTTTTAATTAATAACAAACCGAAAAGGAGGGAAACAGAAAAAAAAAAAAAAAAAGGAGTCAAAAATCAAAAGAGAGAGGAGGAAGAAAAACGTGAATTATGAAACCTCTAATTTGTTGCAATCCTCCAAAATGTTCACAAAGATTATCTGAACCGGTAGGCCCAGTTTTTTTTTGCAGATCAGAAGCAATTCCGTCGGCAATTAACACATGGATTCATGATGCAAATTGTGGCTGTGATTTACGCCAGTGATTCGGATTTGTAAGAGGATCAAGCAAGTCAGACATCAAAGGCTCCACTCCAACATAGGCCATAAATATTACTCTCCCAGTCTCAAATTATTTGTTGAAACTAAACATAACTGTTATTTTGAGATAGAAACCCAATACTAATGTCGTACCGCCTTTACTAGATACTATAGACACCTTTGTATACTGCGAATTGATTAAAGTTAACAGATTAGATGTTTCAGAAGTAGCTTAGGTCTCTTAACCCTAATCTAATACAGTTATCTTTTCAAAAAAAAAAAAAGAGAGAGAGAAAAAAAAGCTTGATATCTTTTAAGAACTCTATCCACATTGAGACATGAACACTTGCAAAGGAAAAGACCCAGGAATTTCTTTATGATCTAGTGTTTCGGCTAGAACCTTCCAGGTGAATTGAATTGCCTACGGGCCAAACCAATCAAAGTTAGACATCATGACAAGATTTCATTCACATGGATGTTCTACAACGTGGTCACTTCTTCCGTATATCTAGATATCCATCATACATACATACACATATACACAGGCTTCAAAGTTCAAACTTGAGAGTAAGAACCTCAGTACTTGGTTATTTACTATTCTCAGGTCACCTCAAAAACTGTACAACACAGACATTTGGCAGAAAACCAGAACTTTTGGAATGGTTGGTACCTGGTAGCTTTCATTCGGTGTGGTCAGACGGCTTTTAAGATCCAGAGTTTGTGTTTCTTTAAATGCAAATATAGCATACAGGGTCCAATCAGATTTGCATCAGAGAGGCGTTTGCAAAGCTTCAGATAAGTGTCGATAGTTCCCGACTGTTGGATTCTTCTTCTAAGTCCCTGCATCACGGCTGCCCTGTCGAGAAAATCCGGACAAAATCCCAGGTCTAGCATTTTTATCACTGTCTCTGCAGCATCATCGAAATGGCCACCCTTGAGGTACCCTCTCAGCAGCCATGACAAAGTTTTCTTCTTGCTCAAAGCACTAGCAACCTCCAATCTTGTTAGCAATCGCTCGATTGCGCCTGCCTCCTTTTGTGAAGCACATATAGCTAACACAATGTCATAAAGATCTTTATCAGCCTCCTTTCCGACAAATTTCATTTCCCACAATTGTTTCTCAGCTTCAACTCCACGACCAGAACAAATGTACATGGCTAGAAGCCTCTCGTGAACGATTCCATTAAGTGACGGTCCCCCATCTTGCACAACCCAATTAGACAGACGAACACCATCTTCCAAGAGATCCGCTTGGTACTTTTCAACAAGTAAAGTGTTTTCAGCATCCATTTCAACAACCGCACCAGCCTTACTGAAACCTTTCAATTTCCGCAAAGCTTTTGCAACTTCATTCAGCTCTTTAACCACAGCAGTCATTGCAATTAAGTAGCTGTAAAGCTCTGGCTTTAGTCCACATTCCCTTAGACTGACAACCAATTTTACTGCATCCTTGTATTTTCCATCCACCTGAAAGAACCACCTCAACCATCAAGCCAAAAAGAGACCCAACATACAGAATATAAAACTACTACATGCATGAATAGCACAAAATCTGGTCAATACAGAAGATAAAACTTTTATGTTTCTCAGAAAAAACCAAGCATGAATATCTCAAATTTTAAAATCATAAATCGGCAATTAACACATGCATGAATGACAGATAAATGTTAATTACATTTATCTTCAAAATTTGAACCATAGTAATGTTGTATTTCAACAGTTTGTGAAAACAATCAGTAAAAGGCTGTACCTAAATCTATACTATTTCTATCCTCCCCCTAACCACCCGACCCAACCCTCCCACCACACTATTTCTATCCTAAAACACTAACTGCTGCAAATTTATTTCTCTACATACTCCCTCTGGTACAAGGCATTTTAATTTGTCCTAAGTTTCATCTATTGTGTTTTCCCAATTGAAAATGAAACCTTAAAAATGTTTTATAATAATTGGGAGAACACAGTAAATGTGAAAATGCATTTTTAATGTTTTATTTTCAATTGGAAGAATTGAAACTAAGGAAAAATCAAATGGCCTTATAATAAGGACAGGAGGGAGTATTTAGTCCCCCTGAAAATTCACCCCTGAACAACTACTTTACAGTGACTAGAATAAGCAGAGCAGATACAAAACCAAGTCATTGTATTTCAAATAATCATAGTTAAATAACCAAAAACCGGGTTCAAAAAAGGCTAAGAGTCAGCATATTATCCTTACAGAACTGCAAACAACAAAAAATAACCGGATGGAACAATTATCACTGTTGATTCCAAGTCCACGAAAGGGACAATTGTGACTACCATCCATTGCAATAGCCAACAATTCGCAATCCACTTGAGCAAACAGAACAAGCAGGGATAGGCAACATTGTTTCTGTACTTAACATACAATTGATAAAGCTCTCGGATATAATAGGAATAGAACAACGTTACAGGCTAAAGATAAGCCCCTGAGATTCAGCATTATAAATTGAAGCACAAAAATGGTCAAATACTTGCATTGTTGCTTAGATGATTCTACAGATAGATTACCATTTTATTTGCATAGATATATTCCAGGGACACGAATTACCATTTTATTTGCATAGATAAATTCCAGGGACACGAATTGCTGTGACTAGGCATGAACTCATCACTGAACTACACACAAGATGAATTAATTTACCAGCCTTTCTAACTTTCCCTCACAGATAATAACGCAAACGAAATGAAGTTACTTTCACAGTTGAAATGATATAGAGATACAAGCATGTAGCTATTACCATCATCTTCCAGGCAAGATAACCAGTTGGGCCTCCTTTATGCTCATCCTTTTGACCGTCTGAATAACCAATCCCCCTCGCAAGCACCTCCTTGACAAACAAAACTGCTGCATCCTTCTCCCCAGCCTCCCAATACAAGGAAATTACCTTCTCAATCATACTAAAGCTCGGCTTCAAACCAACACAATCCATGTCCACCAAAAGGTCTACGACATCCTCAGTATCACTCTTTTCCTCAATCAGCTTCTTAACCCAGCCACACATTATCGAAACCATGAGCTCCATCGTCTCCTTGTCAACCCTATTCTCCTTTCTAAGCCATTCATAGACCTCCAATGCACACCATGAGTCCTTCCCTTCTTGAGAAAAATAAACCAACACCAACTGCAACTCCCGGGCAGACAATTTCTCATTCATTTCCTCAAGAACGTCAGAGGGCTCCCTCACCATCCGTTCCAATTCCTCAATTGCCTCGAAAAACCCTTCGCTCATCACATCCTCATCATCACTGGTCACAAACGTATCCAACTCCACCGAATTAAACAGCCTAAATTCTTGGAATTTACTCTTCCTTGACGAAACAAAACCAGGGTTTTGACTACAATTCACTTCCAAACCTCTACGGAAGTACTGGACTTTGCATTTGAAGTTGGATGAACAAGGGATGACCAACCCCATATTGGAAAATAAAGCGATACCGTTAGCCGCGGCCATACTTTTACCAGAACCCACAAGAGAAACACGATTCCTTCCAGGGTTCATTCAGAAACAGCTTCTGTTCAGAGGCAGAAAACGTCCCAGACAGAGACAGCCCCAATTTTGAGGTCAAATTTCTGCCCTTCTCCTCACTCTATTATTGGAAGAAAACTGTTTAGCCCACAAAACAGACGGAAGGGAAAGGAAACCCGTAAAACAGAAAGAATAACAGTATGCTAAAAATAAAGAAAACGACAGCTTCTTCACCGCAATCGACCGATTTATGGTAGCTCAGAAGGATGATTGAAATCAGCGAAATGAAACAGAAAAAAGGAACTACAAAGAAACGGAAGGGGGCTAACAGAAATATATTATATAGAATACGGAAGGGACACTCTTTAGCGTGACACGTACGATTCTTGAAGTGGCCGTCACGGCCACCTAGGAACCATAACGCTACCGCACCAAAGCTGATGAAGCAGCCTCAGCAGTCAGCACTCAGCAGCTCAGACGGAAAGAGAAAATCTTTTTTAGTTTTAGCAGAAAACATCATATTTTGAGGTGTTTGACTATTTGTGTTGAGTTTGAGAGGATAATGAAAAACAAGTTGAAGAATTGTAAATTACCAACGTAACCCTAGTTTGTTTCTTTTTCGTTTTTGAATTTCTGAGGGTACCGAAGGTAGTTTACCTGTGTGGCCAATGATTAGAGAGGATTAGAGAGAAATGAATATTTGGAGTTGGAGGGCTAAAATAAAATACGGAAATAAAATAATTTACTTTCCCTTTTCCAGTACAATTTCTTTTTTAAAAAAAATTGGGTTGGTATGTGAAAGTTGCAAGGTCGCTTTCTCTGTTTTATCGTTGTTTAGTTGACAATTAAAACTCTTTGGGGACAATGAGGATAAATCATCGAAAATATTATTTGGCCATTAATATTTTAATAATACATTTTCTCAGTAGAGGGCATTCCATACATGACACAGCATCACCAAACAGAATCGAATACGATACTTTTCCGATGAAATTAATAATTTATTTCGTTTCTAAATGATGGTCCAATTTAAATCTTATCTATTCTCTCTGTTTTAAAATTATTGTCCAGTTTGATATTTCACTTTTAGTACAATTTGAACTAAAAATGAAAATCCAAACTGGACAATAATAATGGGAGGGAGGGAGTATATCATAAACAATACTATCAAAACATAAAAATCTAAACAATACAATCATTTTTGGATGAAAAGAATATAAAACATAAACAAATTAATTAAAATTTAAGGGTTAAGTATTCTTTTATGGTCTTCAATTCTTCATATTTTCAACTTTCCTCTTCCCTGCATTCAAAGGCCAAGATGGTCCCCGTTTCTATTTTTACGCATTAACATTCATTCACATCATAAGATTCCCATATCAAAAAGAAAAAAAAAAAAAAACCCCATTATAGGATTCTTTGATCAAATTAAAAATGTATGTTAAAATATGAAAAACGTGTTACGAAAAAGGAAGGCAACTGTTAGACAAATTGGGGACAAACAGTTTCTTAAGGCAAACCTTTTAAGAAATGGACGTATGTTTGTTTAAAAGGACTGAGCAAAGACGACTATGTCCATTTTAGATAGCCCAACCCAATATATCTATGAGAATTTTAATTGAAGATTGAATGTGGAGCGACATTTGTGAAACATGGCCCAACTGCATTGTGCTTTCTTTGAGCTAGGTGAGATTGGATTGGATCTCTGCAAAGCTCAATCCAATCAAAAATTTCTCAACCTAATTTTTGTACACCATCTTTCTCAAAATGAATTTGAATTGTCATGTTTTATACTCTTTCTGTCCTAAAATTATTGTCTAATTTAGAATTTCACTTGTAGTTTTAGTTTGTACCATTCTCAATCTTAATTGTTGTTATCGGAGAGATTGCTCGAGGTACTTCACCGCAGTTGTCACGAACTGACTATTAAATAGGGTTCCAAGTATTGATCAAAAAAAAGAAAAAAAAAAGAAAAAAAGAGGGGTTCCTAGTAGAAAATGGATTCTTGAGTTAAAGCATATTTTTCAGATATCAAATCTCGCTGTAGATTATGAAGACTTGTTTGTTTGTACCCTTTATTTTATTTTATTTTGTCTCATTTTTACCTCTTCAACACAAAACCCAATGCATTATCCAAATATCCATTTAACTTAGTTTTTAAAAAATATTTTAAGCATTAATTTTTTACATAATTCAGTGACCAAACTGAAAACTTTACAATAGTTTAGTGACCATCTTCGAGCCGAAATTAGTGCCGATGATCACTAAATTATTATAAAATCGTAAGTTTGGTCATTGCACTATTTTAATTTCATAAATGGTCACTATACTATAATACTTTACAAATCAAAAACTAAACTATATTTTCAATCTTCTCCCAAATCCAAATCAAAAATTAAAATAAAACGTTGTCCAAATGCCACCCTAATTTTATTAACAACTAGAAGAGTTGGGAGTCTGGTCAATTGCATATGACCCATAGTGTGATATCATTTGCGGGTACAACATGCATGAGATTGTTAGTGTTTCTTGTATTTTCTTTACCACCTCAGTTGCTATACTTAAATAAACAGCTGCATTTAAAGAAATAGCTCTTGGCCAGAAGAAGATTGTCACTGGAGGAAGACCGTAAAATTAGTATGAGGCGGTAAAATTAATTTACGGAAAAAAAATGTAATCATAGAGGACTGACATTACATGTGTGTGTGTTTGTGTTTCCTGGCTCGAGCATGCACTCTGTAACTTAAATAATTTACTTGTCTTTTGATGAGTTCAAAGAAAGACCACCATTTTTTCCCCCCTTTTATCCAAATACGTATTTTGTTGTTCACGACAATAATTTTGGGATCAGAAAAATTGATCGAGAAATCTTGTTAGCTCTAGGGCCAAAATGTAGGTGGTATGTGTATATTCAGCATCAACTGCATATCATCGTTGTCATACACACGAGATGAAGCTGAAGTGGTATAATGTAGTATATAATGGTAAAGATTAATTAATTTGTAGGTGAGAAGGCGAAAAGACAAAGATGCTGCAAACCACATTCTGGAATAATGGTCTGATCGATCCGTATTTAAAGGGATGGTACGTATTCTCATGCATTTGATAAATTGGACTTCGGTGGACTGTTCTGATTATATTTATTTGCCTGGGATTGTTGTGAGTTGACCTTTGTTTTATTCCTCTGCGACTCTATCTTCAGCCAACCCATTTCGTCAGATTTAAAAATCTTTCCTGACATATTACCAGCTTTATAAATGATTCATTCCGCAAACTATTGTTAATCTTTTTAGATATTAATTTATACTGTGTAATATGTATAACTGATTGTGAAATTACACCTGCTGTCCATCCTAAAAAAGAAATCCTGCTTGTTATATTATCTTCTGCGCCTAAAATAAAAATGTATTTGTTGAACTAATTAAAATGATTATAAATTAATAGTTGCTTCACCAAGATATATATACACACAATTAGCGTTACACGTATTTGTTTGTTATTTTTTAATAACTACGATATGCTTTCTCTATGTTCTGGTAAAGAATTTTCTGTGACTTTAATTATTTCTTATAAATTATATAATTATGTGTTGATACATATATACATATGTTCCCCTACTGAGAAAAGAAGAAGCTAATATCATTTGTTTCTCTTAAATAAAATCAATCTTAGCATCATATCATACGTACCCTCCCACCCACCCCCTATTAAAAGAATCTTAATATTCGAATTCATTGGGAATGTGATATAATTTCATAGTGCATGCTTTCGTGGAATTGTGTCCAGAGGACTTAGTTGGCTAGTTAGTGTTTATATATATATATATATATATATATATATATATATATATAAGTATGAAATTGTGAGTTCAAATTAATAGATATCAAATTGAAAACATTGTTCTTTAAGCTAAGGGATGATCAAAAGTCATGCCCTCGTACCAACACTCTCACCAACTATATTTGTTGGCAATCGAATTTTCCCTTAATTCTCCTATGTAAGCTAGCTAGTATGGCCCTTATCACCTACAAATTTAGTCAAGGGCTTTGAAGATGACTTGAATTTCTCCTCTTTTTGTGATTTTAGATCTGGTCTATCGTCTATGAGATTAAAACAGGCAGACATTCTTTGGTGAATTAATGTGGAATATGCGAGCTTAAAATAGTAGTACAAAAATATTCAAGTATTCTGCTAGCCTACTCTTTTGTGTATTGGTTTAACTCAACAAAACAAACTACTCTCTTCGTGCCAAAATTATTGTCCAGATTTCACTTTTAGTACAATTTGAATTAGAATTAAAAATTCAAACTGGATAATAATTACGGGACGGATGGAGTACAAAAATAGAATGAATTATAAAGAATTATATATTACTTGTACGTTTCTGTAGAATTATCTGTATGCTTATTTAATGGCAAAGTTTCAGTCTGAAATGCATGGATGTCAACACATTCACACTTTTTATGTCTGAGTACTAAATTAAAAAGACTAAAGAGTCGAGACTTTTCTCAATAATTGCCAAGCGATTGTCTGAGAAATTCCACTTTCACAAGAGCAAACCAATAATTTAAAATCGCATATGTTGACAGCTGTGAAGAATTGATCAAACTACTTATAATCTAATGAAAATGCCAGGGAGGGCTGCTTAACGACTATCTATATATATGCTATATGGTATACTGTTCAGTTTGTGGCCATTGAATTTGAATGCTTGGTTTCAAACTTCCCACTCGAAGTAAAGACAAGAATTATATTAATTCTCCTTGTTAGAAGTTTAAAGTATAAAAAATAAGTCTTTTTTATTGAAAAATGATGTGAAATTGTGAATGTTCTGTGTCTCTTTTGTTTTGTTTTTTTTTTTTATAATTAAATTAGTAGAGTTTCCCTACAAATTTTTTGATAGGAAATCATGCAATTAGTTAATTATGGCATATATGCTCCCCAAAAATTGTAACATCATACACACACACACACACACACACACACATATATATATATATATATATATTGATTAGTTTCACATAAAAGAATTATATATTGATTAGTTTTCGCAATTCCAATATGAAATTCTTGACTCCGTTGCTATGCAACCACAAATTTTTAAACTGCGTGTTAGAGCATGCATATTCATCAATTTGAAAAAAATGCATGTTAATGTATGGAGTTGATCAAGTTGGAATTTCGGATGACCATTTTCTTTGGCGTGAAAAGGCAAATGGTCAAAGAAATTACATACACTTCGAAGGCGAATATTGTATGAGTTTTGCGTATAAAAATTCATGATAATTCATTCTCAAACCAACGATAAGATCGATGTATAATTTAGTAAAGTTTATCGATTTACCCTTTGACCCTAAAAGCTTAAGTAGACGTATCAATGTCGGGTCCAAGTTACCAATTTCCCTGTAGCAATATATCATACGAATTTAATAAATGTTTGGAGAGACAGCTGTTTCGTGACATTCTACGGAATAAATAAATTCTAGTCTAAATTAATGTCACTTTTCTAATCATGCTGAAAATTTAAGCAAGTCATGGAACATGTCAAAAGCTTCACATGATTCTTATTCGAGGATATCGTAGCCCTCGTATTTAGCTAGATAATATTGTATATCATTACGTAAAATTAATTCTAAGCATATATACTTACCGTCTCATTAGTATCATTCGTAACAACGACATGCTTCTTGTCATAAATTCCCTCAAGGCAAGTACGTAACATGTATGAAGATAGTATCTATAAATGGAGAATAATGTAATACTTCATCCGCCCCTTACACGTTCAGTTTTGATATTTATATGCGTATTATATTTTTGGATCAGAAAAAAAGTACTCCGCGCGTCTCATAATTATTGTTCAATTTAGATTTTTATTTCTTGTTCAAATTGTATCAAAAGTAAAATCTCAAATTAGACAATAATTTTGAAATAGAAGAAATATCTTATTATTATTTTAATAGTAAGTAATACTCTCTCCATCCCGAACTAATTTTAACATGGACATGCAGTACACAAGTCAACTTGCACGATAGCACACATTGATTTTGCTTGTAATAAAATGGTAACCAAATGGGTCTTTCATTTGTTAAGTCATATGCATGGACGCAATTAAGGGAGGGAGGAGATCAAAAGAGGCATCGTACCCCCGTGTTTTTCAGCAGGCAAATGATATTATCGGCGCAGAAATTAGCCTTCAGAGCAATTTATTGTTCTATTGGCTAAATTACCCTTATTAATTCAATCCTTAATTTGCTCAATCCCAGCATCTCGGTCAGCGTTTCCGTTAATCTGCCTACTTCATCCAATCTTATAGAATTCTCTCCCTCTCTCTTTTTTTTTTTTTTTTTTCTCCACTTCAATTTATAATTAACATTTATCAATTGCAAGATTTATGTTTTGCTTCTCAAGTTCATTCAATCTACTGCTAAACTAAATGCTACGTGTTTGTGGATCTGGATGTCCGTTCTTATTTAGTAAATCAATTTTCAGTATTTATTCTTTATTTTTCTGGATTTTCATGAATGGTGATTGGTTCACTGTTCTCTAATTGCTTATTTCATATTTGTTTTCTACTGGGAATCGAGTACGCATATAATTCCCAATAGTTTTATGTGATCTATGACTTTCTTTTTTTCTTTTTATGGAATTTCACATGACTATTGGACAATTTCTCCAATTCTCAATCATATACATGTCTCTCATTCTTGGAGGACATGAAGAGGCAGGTACAAAGGAACCCATTGATCGGTGCTATGCGAAATATTGGAAGAAACAAATCAGAAGTTTGGCACCCAAAACAAAATAAGAAAAAGAAAAAGAGAACAAAAACTAATAGCAGAATGGGTGAGGAGACGATGGTTGACTAACAAGGGTAGGTTGGGCACTAGAGCAATATTTAATATTTTGCTCTAGAAACTAATTTTTGATCTGGCAATATCACCGACTTTTTCAGTATTACTACTATAATATTATAACTAATGTATGTTATCAGCAATTAACTAATTTTGTAACTACGTTTAATTTTTTTTTTCTTATTATTAGTTATAATTTAAAATCACGAACTATATTTTGTGAATTTTCTGACTTTGTGGTACAATGAGGAATTAATTTGACACTTTTTTTTTTTTTGGTGTTTTACAACACATGACATGCATTTTTGTTAGCTAAGATTGTAATCCGTGAACACCGTCCAAAAGTATTATCTTGACACACTTACGTCGCAGTTTGCACATAAATGTGGCTCTGTCTTTCAATTTATTATTGCCTTAACTGCTACGTCTTTTTTTTTTTTTTGAAAAAAATTACCTTATTTAATTACATTATCTTACTTTGTCCAAAAAAAAAAAAAAACAGTGTACGTTGAGTTTTAAAATTTGTAATAAAAATATTATGAATATAAAATTTAATGTGATTTTTTTTAGACAGAAAAAGTATAATAAAGTAGACTTTATTTTTAAGACTGGAGGAATAATATTAATTAACTTGTGTGCGAATTAAAATTGAAAACACAACCGAGGGGGAATCAAAGAATTTTCAGTTCGTAGTTGGGTACGTAATTGAATTTTGTAACCGGACTTATTCCCTTCAACCATCCTTTGAAACCTTAGTGATCATTAATTGGCCAAGTCCCGCTAATAATCGTCGACCTTTCTTGCTCGTTTCTCCTCGACCGGTTTGAAAAAAAAATAATAATTCAACAAACATTATTATTCCCTTCACCCAATTTTATAATAATTCATTTCGTTGAATTAAATAGTACTGATCTTTGCCAGAAAACGTAATTCAGAATTAATTGATTTATTAACTCATCATGAAGTTGACACTTGATAGACCAAAATGCAACCTTTCAGTAATGGAGATCATATATATTATGACGAAACAAATGGACATGCCATAGTATATTTGAATGTCACTACTTAGTATATTCACTATTGCGAGTACGTAGTTAAATTTTAGAAATTTTATTATTGTATTCACAAAAATTATATATAGGTTCACCAATGTTAGAGTTAAAGTATTTGTTCAACCAACAAATACTCTTTAATTATGTTGGGACGGAGAGTAAAATTAACAAAAAATAGAGACCACCAAGTTTTACCTTTCCATCTCATGATTCGTGCCTAGCTAATTAAAAAAGAATCTTTCCCTTGTAAGAATAGTAGTATAGATACAAACATTTTTTATTTTTAAAATCATAAGCATACATATATGTATACACTATATATATATATATATACTTCCTCTGTCCTAAAATTATTGTCTAGTTTAAGATTTTATTTTTAGTATAATTTGAACTAGAAATGAAAATTCAAACTGAAGAGAGTATATCATTATGTATATGTGATGAAACATGCACCAACGGATGGATACATGCATGCATAAAAATATAAATATAATAGATAAACATAATTGAGGGGAGGCTGCACTCTCTCTAGACGGGTCAATTTCTACGTTGGACTTTGACACACACAGTTAGGTTTTGTTTTCTTTCAGGAGAGAGTTTGTAGTATTGTACTCCTGCCTTTTCAGAACTACTATGAGCTCATTCTTTTCCTTAATTTCTAGTCCTTGAAAAAACAAATCTCTCCCCATAAATGTAAACCTCATATATTTCCAGCAAAGTGTATATAGGTTTGACTTGATATTTGGGGGAATATATGTTCTACATATGTATGTTGAGTTTGGAGAAAAGCAAGTTGCATCTTCATATCTCTTGAGTCTACCAAGTTGTGGTCTCTATATTGAAGTATAAACTCATACTTACGATGTGATGATTGTCGATCGATGTCTAGCTAGTTTCGCGAAAAAGATCCAAAGGAGTGAAACAACAACAAATGGAGGATAGAGCAAAATCGGGTTTGAATTTGTTCAAGGATATTGGAAAGGGAGATATTGATGATGAAAGCTGTACCAGGACTAAAACAAGCACCGGAAGTTCGAGCAACAGCATCGTTGACGATAGTTCAACGACGACAACTATGGAGAAAAAGATGAACTCGGGCGGATCAAGTAGTACTACTGGGGTCAGACAGTATGTAAGATCTAAGATGCCAAGGTTGAGATGGACTCCGGATCTTCATCTGTGCTTTGTTGAAGCCATTGAGAAGCTTGGAGGCCAGGAAAGTAAGCACCGTCTTGATTCATATTAACTAAATTTTTAACTTTTTTTAATTAAATGTTATCAGTTTTGATTGATGGATTTAATTAGTAGCCCAAATTTGACCAGAGATTTAACTAATTTATGTGCAGGAGCTACACCTAAACTAGTTCTGCAACTCATGAATGTCAAGGGCCTTAACATTGCTCATGTAAAAAGCCACTTACAGGTATGAACATATTACATATATCTTTTGTTGGATTTAGAAAAAAAAAAACAAGAAGAAAATCCTCCATTTAATTGTATTTAAAAGAGTGTTTAATTCACCTAATCTTTTGTTCCTTTTATTTCTACAAGTAGATGTACCGGAGCAAGAAGATTGATGATCAAGGCCAAGGTATAATATAATCTATAGTCTCTCTTTCATTGTTAGGATTAGGGTTATACTTAAATGGTTGCTTTTGGTCTTCTTGCTTCACTTTGAACAAGTTCCTTTAAATCTAGTAATAATCTTTCCGCTTAATTGATATTAACAGTTATAAATGAAAGAGGGTTTCTTTTCGGGAGACCAGATGACTTTCTAATGAACAATAGTACTTGGCAATTTCCAACACTTGATCCAGGAATTTGGTCGCGATTGAGGCAAGTTATTCTCATCATCTTACTATTTGGCCGTAATATAGTTAACGTTACTTTGTTTTAATCTCATTTGTTAATGAATCAACTTGTCGTAACAGATTTAATAGAGAAGACTGGAGAAGCAACAATGATATAAATTGGACAACCTCTCCAGGCTGTAGTACTAGGCATGTGAATATGATCAAAAGGGGTGTTTTTGCAGAAGATGTTTATGGAGGTTTTTACCAAAACAAAGCAAATGGTTCCATTTTTACCCCACAAGAGAGCAATAAAGCTCATGATAATTCGTGGCAAGAGTTTGCATTATTGCATGATCGACCCAAAATTAATCAGAGCTTTGTCCGGTCATCGGTGTTAGAACCCATTCCAAAATCCCAGCTACAAGGTATAGAAGATAGAGTGATAAGAAGCACAATCACTAGTGAAGTTAGACCGGAGAAATTCATTCATCCGGCCAAGAGAAAAACTCCGGAAAGTGGGATTGATCTGAATCTGTCTTTAGGTATGAGAAACGACCAAGAAAGTGGCAAAAGAGCGCGAGGTAGTCATCGGATTGTGGAGGTGGAAGAGGAAGAAGTGGATAGCAGTTTGTCACTTTCTCTATTTCCCGAGGCTTCTACAAGAGAAAAAGCTTGTTCAGTTTTAGATTACTCTAAGTTTAGAGGGTTGAATAACAATCACGAAGGTAGTAACTTTAGGAACCCAACATTGGCGAGTACTCTTGATCTGACTATATGAATTTACTCGTATAAATTCTAGTGAGATCTTGCTGGTACTCGCACAATAGGGTTCTTTTCAATATTTTTCATTTTCATATGAGGATATTTCTTTTGGAGTAACTTTGGTTAAATTGAAGGTTAAAATCTCTCTACTTTGAATTTCACTAAATTGTATCTATATCATTTTTAGTTATGGCTTACTTAAAATGACTTTTGTCAATTTTAGATTCTCTTGTTAATAAAATCCAATAGCTATATATGATCCATATATGTAACGCAACCGCCTTCTTGGTCATTTTTCGGTTAATGGTCTAGTATCAGGAACATACTTCAACAGGACAGGAAGTAGTTCGATTTTGGCTAATGGACCAATTAAGTACCTGAGCCAACAATGCATAGATTTCCAGTGAGAAATTCTTTGGCCTTTATCTTCAAGTTAGATTTTGACCATATTGAATAGCTCGATGTATATCGATCGGTTCATTCAATTCATCTACAACTTCATAGGCAAATTTCAATGTCTAGGGTCTTGTGATTTATCTCATTGCTGTGTGTAAAAAAACAAAAAAACATTTTGTAGAGGGAAACGACATCTCGTTGCCTACAGAATATATGCATATGTTAGAAAGCTCATCGTTAATCTAAAAACTTGGCTGTTTTATTGTCTTCTTCGTTACTTGTTGATTTTCCTGCGGAAGCGTGTCTTTCGGATTTCAATTTGTTTTTAATTTAGCTAGAGAGAGATGTATAACCCACTTGTTTATTTTAATTACGAAATTTTTGTCTCTTTTGTACGTGTGCATGATCATATATTCTTGCAAAAATTCTTAACCAATTGTATGGACTTCTTGAAGAAAGTTTCCATTAACCAATTTGGCGCATTTGTTCAAACATGTGAATGATCCCTTTGTTCCACTTTTCAAGTGTCATGTCATAATTTGTTGGGAAAAGAAAAAACAGAATATATATAAGAATGTGTATACGCAGCCAAAGAACAATAAAATCCGTGCAATATGTGTTTTTAATTGGAGATTCATCATAAAACTCAATGGGACTATGGACAGTCATCCAAAATCTATCAAAGAAAATTAAACCGTTATTCCTTCTATTTTATAATGATTGTATAAATAATTATATATTTTTTTAATATCATTTTAGTTTGATAAAATAAATTAGTTTTCTAATACAGAGAGAGTAGATTGAGGTTTTGAGCAGTGATCACTTTGGAACTGAGGAAGTAATAGTATGATCATGTAAACTTTTTAAAATTTTTATCCAACTATATAAGTTTCTCTCGGCTAAATTTTGTTTTCTCGAAATTGAGTATTCTTCTGATAAAATAAGCATACAACAGCATATATGACTCAATTAATTTATTGAATTGGTTCAGGAAATGATCTACGATCTAGTTCAGTTTTTAACTAAAGCTAGACTTTGAGGAGTCCCTTAGTTGAACAGACGCACCAGGTCCAATATACTGCAAAGATGAGATTGTGTCTACATGTATATGTACTTGCAGGGCAAGGTGACTTGGTTACATTTCTTGATTAAAATTTCGATTGTAAGTTTATAACTTTGCAATGTCCATGTTTTTTTCCCCTTAAAAGAAAACACTAATAGCTGGGTCTCTTGCCAATATGCAGTGTTACTATTATCCATTTAAAACTCGTCATATTGTAATCTAAGTTGTTTTGGACGATGCCTCTCCAGTTAAAAAAAAAAAAAAAAAATGCTTACCCCTTAGATATATCGCAAGGCTAGATGTCACATGTATGCTCATATTTGAAGGTTTTGGACAAAAATTTCTTCTTCCACAATCCAACCTATTGCCTATAAGAGCATAATTTAGTCAAGAAATTATGCAATATGTATATGCAAGCAAACTATTCACAAACGGTTACCTCTGAACAACACCGGCATAATTATAAGAATTTTGAGACCTATCAACAAGAAGACAACTTGAATCTTCATTCTTAATTTGACCATTTCCTAACACCACATGTTCAAACAAAATCTTCACATGTGTGCCTGAATCTTTTCCAGTTTTTTTTTTTCTATAAATCCGAGGATTTCCCTTAATCTCTTACAGTATCTTCTGTTAACTATGCAACAATTCGTAAAATCCATTTTGGACTATTAAAGTTGGACGCCACTTGAATATTTTGGTCGATCAGTCCTGTGTTTATTACGACCGTCCTCCCCTTGGTTTCAAAACAGCCAAACCAAAGTGATTATTAGCTGCGCAATATCCAATTGTACCATATAATTAATTAAGCTTTCCCTTTAACTCCGTTCTAGCCAGGACCAAGGACTGAGCACTCTGTATCTGGTGAAATACATTGAAGTACTTGTATGTGATGATTTGTTGTGTTTTCTTTGAGCAAAATATAAACTGGGAACGGGAATGAAACCTTCGGATTGCAAGGGGAAAAAAGAAGAAGTAATATCTCCACACTAATTAAGAAAACAAAATCGATAGCATGAAACATAATTTGAAATCTAAAAGGTAAATTTATACTATTGCAGAAGACTATCTAATTAATTATATAGGTCATCTTGACCGGCTCCACCAGCAGAAGTTGCAAAAGGGTCCGCTACTTCTGTAGCTCCGGTGGCGGTGGACGTCTGAGAGAACTTGAATTCGGAGCCGAAGCCTCGAGACTGATGAAGAGTTCGTGCAAAGGCCTGATATTTCCGTATATCACCATCACTCACACTCCTTCGGGCGAATTTCATCGACTCCTCAAAATGAGAAGCCTTAATTTCAGAAACTTCCTCCACATCCTCCTCCATTTCATCAGGATTATCTTTCCTCTTATTTTGTCTTTCAATATCTTTCTCAATATCCTCCCGAATTGCATATTTGCTGGCCCTTTGGCATATCTCAGTAATATCAGCTCCACTGAAGCCTTCAGTGAACTTTGCTAGAGCTCTCAAGTCAACATCCTTAGAGACAGGGGATTTCCTGAGGCATGCCTTGAAGATCTGGTGCCGAGAATCTTCATCAGGGAGGGGGATGTAAATTAATTGATCCAGCCTGCCAGGCCTCAAAAGTGCGGGATCAATGATATCAGGCCTGTTCGTGGCGCCGATCACGAAAACCGTTTTCTTTGCGTTCATTCCATCCATCTCAGTCAGGAGTTGATTCAACACCCGGTCAGCAGCACCTCCAGCATCACCCACACTGTTTCCTCTCTGAGTGGCGATTGAATCCAGTTCGTCGAAGAACAGGACACAAGGAGCCGATTGGCGTGCCTTGTTGAAAAGCTCCCTGATATTGGACTCGCTCTCTCCAAACCACATGGTAAGCAACTCAGGACCCTTGATACTGATAAAGTTGGCTTGGCACTCCTTTGCAATCGCCTTGGCGAGCAGAGTTTTACCGCATCCTGGTGGTCCGTAGAAGAGGACTCCTTTGGAAGGAGACATTCCAAACTTCTCAAACATCTCAGGATGTTCGACTGGATACTGAACCGTTTCCTGGAGTTCCCTCTTGACGCTCTCCAGGCCGCCGATATCTTCCCAGCTCGTATTTGGAACTTCGGTCATTGTTTCCCTCAGGGCAGAGGGGTTGGTTCCTCCAAGAGCTATCTTCAAGTGGTCATTGGTGACCGCCATGGAATTGAGAATCTCCACATCAATGGAATCGTCTTCCAAATCGATCACGTCCATCTTTTCCCTAATGCACTGAAGTGCAGCCTCAGAACACAAAGCTGCCAAATCCGCACCCACGTAACCATGAGTGTCCTTGGATACTCTTTCCAAATCCACATCATCGGCGAGTTTCATGTTCTTCGTGTGGATTTGGAGAACCTCAAGACGCCCAACTTCATCAGGGACTCCAATGTCTATTTCCCTGTCGAATCTTCCAAACCTTCGGAGGGCAGGATCAATGCTGTTGGGACGATTCGTCGCGCCAATTACGATGACATGAGCACGGGACTTGAGTCCATCCATAAGTGTCAAAAGTTGGGAGACTATTCTCCTCTCGATTTCCCCGTGTGTCTTTTCCCGGTTAGGTGCAATGGAATCGATTTCGTCGATAAATATGATGGAAGGTGCATTCTTTTCAGCTTCCTCAAAAGCTTTCCTCAGATTGCTTTCACTTTCTCCAGACATCTTGGACATAATCTCAGGTCCATTGATACAGAAAAAGAAAGCACCGGTCTCATTAGCCACAGCTCGGGCTATCAGCGTCTTCCCGGTCCCTGGAGGACCATAAAGAAGAATCCCTTTTGGAGGCTTCACTCCAATAGCTTTAAAAAGCTGAGGATGTCTCAATGGCAACTCAACCAGTTCCCGAATTTGAGCCATCTGCTTTCGTACTCCTCCAATATCATCATAACCAACCTCGTCCAAACTGTCCTCGTCTTCCCTCCGAACTGGTTCTCCGTCGAAGAAGATCTCCGTCTCAGGGGTAACAATACAATACTCAGAAGGCTCCGTGTCAACGACCTTGAATTCAACGCTTGTCATCCCTCCCCTGACCAGAAAATTGTCACCCTTTCTAACAGGACGGTATGACTCCAAGAAATACGGTTTCAAATAAGCATCGAAAAGGTTTCCAATCAGCCCTTCTACGGTGTCTCCGATCGGAAGGACGTGAACCCGTTTTCCATACCGGACATCAGGAAAATTGTGGACTGAAACAACGTCTCCAAGCCGAACCCTGAGATTGGTCCTGACGACTTTGTTCACCCTGATTTTGGCCGGATCACAAGTTTCGTCGACGTGGGCTATACAAACAGTGTCTTTCTTTTTCTTTCCCTTCATCAGAACGGTGTCTCCACGGAAAATCTGGAGCTTCTCCATGGTGGTCGGGTGCATAGCAACGATGGAATTGTCATCGTTGGTGGTGGTTGCTTCGTCTATAATCAGCCGGTTCGGCGATTTCTTCCTCTCCAAAATTGCCGTGCTGTAATCCTTTTTTACTTCTTTGGAATTCTCCGATTGTTTCTCCTTTGAGCCTTTACCCATGGCTGTAAGAATAAGTTAGAATTGATATTGGAAGGAGGAGGGATGGCTGGCTTTATATAGGGGAGGTAGGGGTGGTGTCGGTTGACTTTTACTAGTAGGAATCAAAATTTTCTGTTTTTGTTTTTTTTTTGTTTTTACTATGATTCAATTTCTGAAAGGAGTAGGATCTGCGCTTTTTTCTTTTTCTTTCTATTTTTTTTTCTTTTTTGGTTTGTTTTCCTGATCCGATTGGTATTGGAAGCTGCCTTATATTTATTTTTACGTATAATTTTCATATAATATTGTAGCAAAAGTTTCGAAAACTATGTAGCAAAAAAATTTATGTCATGTAATATTTTTTCTCCAGCAAAGGTCTCAATTGCCTCTTTCTTTTTTCTTATTGTTCTTTTCCCCCTTTTCTTTCTTTCCAGTAGTTACATACAGAACCGAAACAAATCCTTTACTTTACATACCCCAGATCCTCGTGGGATAATTTTATAATTCTACGTACAAATGAGAAGGATATGAAATAGATCCTTGATCAGAATTTACAGAGAATGAACATCAAATGTGGATCCAAGCTAAGCCACCACCAAATTAAACTTGAAAGGACTTAAATTTAGAAATGGAAACAGTAATATTTATTTTGTTTTGAACATTTTCTTCGTTATTAAATTAACAATGATAATCATTTCATACGGTAACATCATCGAACAATGGAGTTTCGAATCATTTTCTTTTTCTTTTCTTTTTTCCCTCACTTTTGGAGTCAGCCAGCTGTATGAAAACGGTGGACTTCTAATTATTCATAGCCTAGTGTTCATAAATCAACCTAACAGATAGTAATAAATTAAAATGTAAACGCAAGGGGTGCTTGATCAGGATTTAGTGGTGAGTTGGGTGAAGTCACAAAGTTTGGAAACAATAACTTCAAAGAATCCTTAATCCTTATTCCTAGTCCAGCCATATATTCCTTCTCTAGTCCAATTTCAAATATGTTGCGTTTGTATCAGAAGTTGCAAGAGGTTGGTAAATGTTCGGTTTTTATGAAAATTATTGGAGCCTACTTTTCCGTTTTCTTAGCAAAGTCAATGGATCATATTTTGCTATGGTGCTCTATCAAAACACATGATAATTTGCTACAGAACAATACTTGAATAATTAATTTGACAGTAAAAACCAAGTCCCGATTAATCCCCATCCATCAAATGAGCAGAAAGCTCTAACCTTGATTATACGTCGACTGGCATTGTCTACGCCTCCCAAACTTTCAACAGCTTCAAACTCAAACATCTCAAGCATCAATCAAGAATTAAGAATCTGTAAAGAATGAACTCTGGTCGATGTATTTGCAGGGAAGAAAAAAGGAAATATTCTGGTGTTTTTTGAATGTTCTTTAATTGTATATTCAGTCAAGTATATTCTGTACAACTCAAACTCATCATCGACTAAGAGTATCTATATATATACAAGTATATGACCGACTTATTTACAGTCTGCTAACTAACACAGAACTAAACTAATCTCAGCCTTTGATCACTAACTACTCCCTTAATCGTACGCCTGAGGACTGTTGTAACTGGACGGGATGGATTGATGACCTGGCTCTCTGCTACTTCCAGAAGGCTTGTTGCATAAGTTAGCTTGTCTGACTTTCTGCTGATGATCATGTGCAATAGACGATCCAGCTTCCATGCATGCAAGCAAGGCTGATGAAACTTCTTCCTCTTCTGTATTTGATTCAGTCAACAACCCCCCTCAAGATGAGCATCCCAAAGAGTCATCTTGGACAGAATATAAGTGAAAGATCTGCTGGACAAAGATTTTGTAAACACATCTGCAAGGTTCTAAGAAGAAGAAATATGTTGAGGAAGAAGAAAACCAAGTTTGTACTGATCTCTCACAATGTGACAGTCAATCTCTATGTACTTAGTCCTCTCATGAAAGACACGATTAGCAGTAATGTCCAATACAGCTTTGCTGTCACACCAAAATGAAACAGGAAGAGGTGGAAAAATGGAGAAATCCCTGAGAACACAAGTAATCCATAAGAGTTCCCTGATTGTTACTGCCATTGCTCTATATTCAACTTCTGGTGAAGAGCATGAAATGGTAGATTGTTTCTTGGCCTTCCAAGAAATCAAGCTGCTGGCAAGAAAAATGCAGTATCCAGTGATGGAATGACGAGTAGTTCTGCAACTCCCCCAATCAGCATCACTATAAGCTGTGAGAGTGAAATTCTCTTGGCTGAGAAAGAACAAACCTCTAGAAATACAACCCGAAAGATACTTCAAAACGTGAAAGGCTGCATTCCAGTGACAATCATGTGGCTTGTGTACAAACTGACTCAATTGTTGCACTGCATAAGTCACATCAGGCCTGGTATAAATTGAGATGAGAGCTTCCCAACTAATCTTCTATACTTCTCAGGATTATGATACAGTGGAGTTGGATCCTTATCCTCTGACAGGAATTTAAGATCTGGTGGAAATGGTGTCACTGGTGGAACACAATCCAGAAGTCCTGCCTCTTTAAGTAGATCAGTAATGTACTTTTTCTGACTGATGTAAATTCCTGCTGAAGATCTTGCTATCTCCATTCCAAGAAAATAACGTGCCACTCCCAAATCCTTAATGGTAAATGCTTGATCCAAAAAAAAACTTGAGTTTCTGAATCTCTTCATCAGAAGTCCCTGTGATGATAACATCATCCACATAGACTAGAAGAAACAATTTATAGTCTAAGTGATGTCGAGTAAATAGATAGGGATCATGGTAAGATTGAACAAAGCCATAAGAATACAACTTAGAATTACACTCAAGGTTCCATTGTCTACTGGCCTGTTTTAATCCATATAAAGATTTCTTCAACTTACACACTTGACCTTTCTGTGCCTTAGTATATCCAAGTAGAGGATGCATATAAACTTCCTCACCTAAAATGCCATGTAAAAAGGCATTATTCACATCCAATTGGAAAACAGACCATGTATTTGAAGTTGCAATGCCAAACAAGGTTCTGATGATAACCACCTTAGCAATTGGTGAAAATATTTCTGTGAAATCCTCCCCTTCAACCTGTGTATAGCCTTTTGCAACCAATAGAGCCTTATACCTTTCCATTATTCTACAAGGGTTACACTTCACCTTGTAAACCCACTTTGAACCAACCACCTTCTTTCCTGCTTGTAGAGATGTCAATTCCCAAGTGCCATTGTCTTCTAAGGCATGCAATTCTAAATTCATAGCCTCAACCCATTTTTGGTTAGTTCTAGCCTGATTATAACAAACAGGTTCAAGAATAACAGACAGGTTTGCCACAAATTCATGATATGCAGGAGTAAAGGTACAAGAATCAGAAAAGTTACTATCTGAATAACAAGAGAAAGAAGTATAAAAATCATTCAATAAGACTGATGGTTTCTTTACTCTAGTACTTCTCCTGAGGGGAGTTTGAGAAGGAGAAGATGTTAAGCTGGATGAACTAGAGTCTGATTGAGATATATGAGGATTAATAGGAGATGAAGAAACGGGATCATGATTTGGTTGATCAGAAACAGTTGTACTCAAATCATCAGCAGGAATTGAGATATTAGGTAGAGGAATATGATTTCTTGAATTTGACAAAGAAGGAAATGTTGTTTCAGGAAAAACAACATCCCTGGAAACAATGGTTTTATCTAAAGAAGGACAATACACTTTGTATCCTTTTTGGCCAGAAGGATACCCAACAAAGATTACTCTAAAAGTTCTATGATCAAACTTGTCAGGACCATTATTAACTGCATAACATAAGCAGCCAAAATTTCTGAGTCCTGTCAAATCTAGTTTCTCATGATAAAGTATTTCAAAAGGACTTTTCCAATCTAAAAGTCTAGAAGGCCATCTATTTATCGAGTATGTAGCTGTAAGTAAACAATCCCCCAAAAAAAGGTTTTCGGAAATTTAGACTAAAATAGTAATGATCTAGCAACATCAAGAAGATGTCTATATTTCCTTTCCTCAATTCCATTTTGTTGGGGGGAATAGGGACAACTCCTTTGATGAAGTATCCCCATGTGGCTAAGAAAATCATGACAAGAAGTATTCAAAAATTTGATTCCATTATCAGTCCTGATGATCTTAGTAATGGTTTAGAATTGTGTTTTAATCATGTTGATAAAGGTTTCAATAAGAGAAAAAACTTGGCTCTTGTACTGGAAAAGATAAGTCCAAGTACATCTACTATGGTCATCCACTATAGTTAAGAAGTAATGACAATTCATCCCAGTAGCACGTCTAAAAGGACCCCAAACATCCATGTGTATCAAATCAAAACAACTTTTGCTATGAGCAAGACTAGAAGGAAATGGTAATCTGTGTTTCTTTGATAAATGGCAAATTTCACAGTGATTAATAGATTGACCATCATTCAGAATTCTAACATTAGACAAGTGGTTTATTACATCAAGAGATGGATGACCTAATCTAGAATGTAAGATCATAGAAGGTACAACTGTACTAGCATTATTACAAGTCTGATGATCTGAAACTGGTTTATTGTAAAGCTGATAAGTAGCATATATTTCTTGTAATTTGAGTATGGCTTCTGTAGTGAATGAGCTCAAATCCAAGACATAGAGTTCCTTGATCACTCTGCTAGCTGCAAGGACCTTTCCAGTTTTAAGGTCCTGTAGCAAACAGAAGTCAGCAGAGAATTTGAAGAACATGTTTGACACCTTTGCTAACTTTCTAACAGAGAGTAAATTATACTTAAAGTTAGGAAGATGCAAACAGGAAGACAAAGTTACTGTTTCTAAAAGAATAACATCACCAAAATGAGTGACATTTTTAACACTACCATCTGGTAGCCAAACTGGAGTAAAAGAATAAAAGGACTTTGCATTATGCATCAAAGAAAGTTCATTGCACATATGACCTGTGGCACCCATATCTGTCACCCATGCATTGACTCCTATTTCATTATCAAACCAAGAAACTTAGTTAGAATAGGTTGTTCTACCTGCAAAATCATGGTAATGAGCCAT